TTGCCTCCACAGAGAGCCAGTGTGCTTTTAAGTCTTAAAGCAGCTGAACATGCCTTAATTATTGAAATTGATTGCAGGGATTGGTGGTACTAAAAACTGCAAACGGACAAAGAGCAATAGTAAATGTTGCCTCTCTGGGGGAAAGTGAGATGCAAGCAGCTGTGAAAGGATTGTGAAATGCTGTGACAATATAAAAAGGATTTGAGATGAAATATTACAGTAGGGTGTGCTTATTGGTGCTCTGATGTTTTGCTGTGTGTTTTTTAGTTGAGTAGGAACTTCAGTTTGTGTAATTTTGCCTGCATGTTGAAAGCTTTCTTTAAAAATAAACAAACAAACAAAAACACCCACAAAAAACCGCAGTGAAATACTGGAGGAAGAGAGAGAAGGATAAAGATGCTGGGACGCTCCTACAAAAAGCAGAGTAGAACGGATGCCCCTTTTAAAATAACAAAAGGATGAGAAAAGAAGAATTTAGCAGAATATTGTGTGCAAGGTTCTGTTCATTCAGCATTCCTACCTGGTTTTGGTTGCTTACTGGAAGTAGAAAAAACACCTAAAAATAATGAAGATCCCAAGGAAGTATGTGTAAAGCAGCAGCATGGATGAATCTATTTTAACAAGTACTTTGGAGCTGTGGAAACTTGCTTTTGAGTAGTTAGGGTGATGCTAACACTTGAAGTAATTCCAATATATTATAAAATACTTAATGTTGGGGCATTCCATGGCAGAGAATCTCTGTGAATCATCTCAGTCAGGCTTAAAATACTATTTGCCTTCTAAATGAATTGGGAACGGAGACTGGAATGTTAATTGTGACTTCAGGCTATCGTGTCCTATGCAGTGTCTAAATCAACAGTGCCTGAAAGTGAAGCCTCAGGTATATTTGAAGCTTCTATAATAATACAAATAAGCTAGCCTGTGGTCATCCTTTGAAGACAATAGGAGGTTTTTATGCCAATTAGGATTTACTTTTCTGGCTGTAATAGCTTGATGACAGTTCTTAAGTTTTGACAGTTTATCTTACTAGGACTGGCATGTTTTGCTTCATCAATATTTTACTATCGCGTTAGGAAAATATAGCACAATGTATATGCTTCATCCCATAAACTGCTCGTTCCGAGGCAAACTAGTGATCCCTTCATTTTATGTGTCAAATAAAAAAGCCCCACATCTATATTTAGATAACTTGCTCACAAGATATGGCAAGATATTCTTACTCAGTGGGCAGCACGGTGAGTTGGCAGTGATGGTGTTTCACATGACTGATAATGCAGAAGTTTCTCTTGGTAGTGCTGTGGGTAGGACAAAGAATCGTGATGAAGAGGGAACAAGATAGAGAGAGTTCACAGTATCCCCAAAATACAGATCAGAAGAGCTGCTTAAAAATAACCATTACTGCATGCTTGTGGTATTTTGGAAAAGGGGAATTGATATATGGTAGAAAAAAATCTGTGTTTTTTAAAGATTTACTACTATTTCCAAACTCATTTAAAGGCTACAAGGGATTTCACTTTGTCCAAAGATAATTTTAAGTGAACTGTATATACCCTTATGTTATAGATGACTTCAGAGGTAAAAGTACAGAAAGAGTAATCAGTAAATAAAACACTGCTGTTTTGACAGAAAAGCCAGGGTATTTATGGTGAAAGCTGAAGGCATAAGGTACAAGGAGAGCCACGTGTTCTCCAGCACGTGGCTGATAAAGGCAGATCAACACAGTGACTTTGTCACCATCTTCTCTAAGAAGAGGACACAACCGCAGATACCACCATCTGCTTACGGCTACAGTATTGCATCCTACCCCGGAACGGGCGCCTTGTTTGCTTCTGGAAAATGGCTGGGTGTGAACTGACTTTTGATCATTAATCATCTAATCAACCACTGTGCCTTTTCTTTAAAAAACAAAGAAGGAAGAACAAAAAAAAATAAATCTGAAAAACCCACCAAAAAAACCTCAACAAAACGTATCGGGTGGAAGAACCTGAGGGCTGTGGTAGGCTGTGAGCTGAGCAAATACAGGATAAAGATGTATAGGGATTACCCTGAGGTGCTTTGGCTGGTGGGGCAAGATTTAGTAGGTGCTTCTCTCAGCTGTCATAGTTACCTTTACACAAATAGTAGGTGCACATGCACCACAAAGGCAAGACAAGGAGCTTACTGCTTACTACAGCTAATAAGTTGTGATTCACAGGAAGGAAAAAAATGCATACGGTCAGTGGTTGTCATTTGTGGACACTTACTAAACATCAGTAGTTAATTATTAAAAGTTTTTAATATTTTTTTTACTGAAACTTTCTATTAGATAAGCGGATTAATCTTTCATTTAGAATATTCTTCACCCAACACAGGCCAGCTAATTTGATCTTCATCCTTCAGTGGTGACGGGGTTATATTTGTGCAAGCAGAATACAGCCTCACCTAGCAATATGCTTGGTTTTGACTTCCAAAAGGGCAGGATTTCTGAAACTTTTAAGTGTTGGCACAGCTGCTGTGTAAAGTTTAAATGGAAAATGATAGGAAAATCTAGGAATTGGCATCCTGTAGAATATGCTTAGGCAAAAGAACTGTGATTTCACAAGTGTGAAAATAATATATTCTTGATGGGAAGGAATCTTAGTTAAAGGAAATTAAAGCAGCAATTAAAACAAATATGAAGGATCAGGAAAAGGGCAATAAAATGTCCATTAACAAAAGTAAAATTTAATAAATAAGGGACTTAAAAAGTGAATTCCAGTGTGGTTAGAGATAAAGTGCTTAGTACATTTTGCAATAGGGAAAAAAATGTCCCAGATCAGATGTGGATGGTAAAACTGTGAATAATATAGTAAAGGAAGGAATGGCAGTGGTTATTTCTGTTGCAGGTTTTGACTTAAAGAGGAGGATATGTCTACCTCATGTAATGCTACAGATGTAATAAAGATGTTTGTCATCTGTAGAATAAAAGGTTATGAGATAACATCTGCTGAAATAAACGTTCTCAGGCCAAGAGGTCGTTTGACTGTGAATTAGATAGACTAGACAAGGAGTCTTCTGAATTGCTGACCTTAACAAATAACTGCCGAAGTCTCAGCGTCCTGCTAGCGTGGTTCCAGGGAAAGCTCCAGTGAAAAGCTGCTTTTTTTGCCTTCCTGAAGCTCGTGGAGGCTCCTTGGGAACCATCACCCATGCCCTGTTGTCATCAGCACCCATCTCTGGGGCCACCCTCTTCCCGCAGGGAGCTGGTCATTTCCAAACTGAAATAAATGGGTGCCTCTGCACCCTGGGTGCTGCAGTCTTGGCTCAGGGTCTCGTTTGAACTCGATGATGAGCTTGCAATCTCCTTCCTCCCTCCACCCCCTTCGGTTCTGGGAGACAGTAACTGCTTGGGTGTTTCCCGAGTCCTTCCTGTGTTGTCTTAATAGAACCAAGCTATTTTAATCTTTTCTATGTTGTCTTGGCTGACCAAGGTCTGTCCACAGGCCAACTTATCTTGTCTTCATCTCTAAATATATTTCTATTTGTGATCAGCATTTGTGCGTTGTTTTGTTTGGTGGGGTTTTTTTTTGTTTGTTTTAACTCTACCTTGAGCATTGAATAATCAACAGCTTGCTGTGCCTGCTGGAGCATCCTCACACAGCTGGTATTCCTTACTTCTGCTTATTCAGGTTACTGGCAGCCACCTCCCGTGGGATCCACGCTGACAGGTTTTCTTTCTGGTAACTATCACAATTGGGGGCGGTGAGTCTGAAGAGTTGCCCTCCATCCCTGCTTTCTTGTGATTCAGAGTTAGGAAAAGAAAAGCTCAGTTGTAACCACCTCTTGTGTAGGGAAGCAGAGGGCAGCCGTATGCAGACGTCTGTAGCCCCGACAGATGTTGGCTGCTCAAAATCAGGTGTTGATCAGCACAGTGAGATCTCTGCTGGCTGGGGACAAGGGTTTCTGGATTTGCTGTTTGTTTTGTAGGGTAGCTAATTGCTTTTGGCTCATATCACAGTAAGCCTGTGGCATCCCAGCATCTTTTTGCAGGCCTTGAACATAGATGATGTGAATTTAGACACAGCTTTAGCGTAACTGGCAATTATCAGATATTTTTAAGGATTAAAAGTGGGAGCCCAGGGATTTGCTGTGTTTCTGTGTAACTATACCAAACCTTCAGGCTCTGTCTCCTTTCGTCTCTGTTTTCTTCTTTATTTTTCCCTACCCCTTTTTTTATTTTCTTCTAGAATTGCATTTCAGATCTTTACTGAAGTTGTCAAAGCTAGTTAGAGAAGGAAGGTTGTGTGCCTGTCTCATGCAATTTCTGTATTGCAACTGCAGCTGAAGCTAATGAAAAGAGACCTGTATAATCATTGTACAGCAGCAGAACAAGGTTATATTTTATAGCTTTGACAGCTACCTGGAAGGTGTCTGTCTGGGGGGGATGGGAGTTTTTAATCACAAAAGATTCTGCTTTCTTGGTTTTAAGAAGAATTATTGGATCGAACTCTTATAATATTGCCATCCCTGATGCAGATGTTTAGCACATACATTGAGAAACAACCCTGTATGTATACATGCATCTAAAATTTCAGACAGAAAGCTCCAGTCTGAGTACCGTATCTGGAACAAGTCCTGATGCTGTGAAATAGAGGAGAGCAAAACAGCTATGATCTTTTTTTATGCTTCTGGCACAGAGTACAAATGTTGCACTATGCATGCACATAGCAGTAAGGGAACAGATTTATCAAACTTTGCTGTCAGGCAAACTCTGATGAACAAGAATAACATAAATACTCCAAAGGTACAGTGGCTTTTGCTCACTGTCAGCAAGCATTGTATCAGTACCACCATAGATAAAACATTGCAGAGTTAAGAGTCCACAGTGAAAAAGCCTACAACTGTCGTCACCTTCAGACTACCCGCTACGGTTTTCAGTGTTTCTGATACCAAGTAAACCGTTTATTTTGGGATAAAACAGAAAGCTTTTTACATAAATAGCATATGGTATGTTTATTGACTTATACATATTTTAATTTTAGGTCCTTAGAAGAACACCATGATCATCCTAACGTGGTAATTGGAGATCTTCAGTCAGATGAAGAAGATATCATGAACAGTTCTGATGAAGATGATGACACAAATTCTGATTCCAGCAAAGGGGAGCCTGATCCTCAAGAAGATAAACAGGTATCTTTCTTTTTATCTTCTGAAGCTGTTCCTCACTCTTGCAGTATTTTGTAAGTTGTAATCTGTTGGGATATTTTCAAATAAAAGGCATTGAGTCAACATAACTTTATATATTTCTTTTCATCATTCTTATTGCTTAGTGTTTGGGTTTTTTTTCTAAAATTTTAATTTAGTATGTGTACCTTAGCCTGATATTAAAAGGTCAAGTTTAGAAATATCCCACTACAAAGCGTGTGTTGCCTGGCATGTTTGTTCTTAACTTTCACTGAATTGTGGATCTGTAGACCTGCCTACAATGCCCCTCTAACAGAGCTACATGCACAGATGTATGTTCAGAGATCTTCAGTTTTGAGGCTTGTAAATGCCTTTTAACGAGGCTGTCTATGCCTCACAGATCCTAGAGTGCACAGTGTCTCTTGTGCACTGAACATTTAAAATCAACCTTTGATTTGTCAGCTTTGGTGAAGCCCAAGGAAAGGGGCCAGGTGAAGGTTGCGCGATCTGACAAGGTCCTTCTGAAAAATCTCTCGGAAGCTGTAGTTTTGCCTGGGTGTTCCTATTTCGAGGGTCTTGGCCATGCAGCAAAGGCCATGTCCCAGTAACCATTTCTGTGCAGACAGCTTTCTTGCGTTTGCAGGTTCTGCATGCTAACCTGCCAAATTGCTGCTTGGCACGCAGGGGACAGATAATTGAACCTGTTTTGAATTCTTCCTTTTCAATGGCATGAAACACAAAGGGCTCAACCTGCCTTTGGCATTTATAAGTTCCTTAATTCACTGTTTTGGTGCTGAGGAGAGACTGTTGGTGTACATGCGAGGGACCTGTCGTCGTAGGGTTGCAGAGCCACCTCTGTGGCCCTTGGAGAAGAGTGAGCCACGCTTGACTGTTGGGGTTGAGGTCTGACCTTCTGCTAGCTTCTGCAAGTGCCAGCGTGGAATGATTCACCTATTTTAATTTTATTTCTTCTTCAAATGAGGAGTGGGAAGACAGCGCTAACTACTCAGAATTAAATGAAATTCTCAGGGTCCTATCCCTCTCCTTGGGGATACCCACTTCCTCACTTCTCAGCCCTGGATGCCCTGACACCAGCTGGGCCGTAGGCCAGAGCCTCTCCTCAGCTCTGTTTCCTTCGATAATAGTTATATTTGCTTCCTTTCCTTAAAAATGAATAATAATTAAAAAAAAAAAAGGCAGTGAGACTTTTTAGTACTGGAAGAGAAGACTTGATGATGATGTGTCAGACCTGAATGTCATTTAACCAGATCTTCTGGGAGGAATAAATTGGGGGCGGGAAAGAGAGTGGAGGGAAAAGCTTGTTCCTGTGAAACTACGCAGGACTCTACCTGTGTAGAAGCTAATGTACCTTGAGTACCTCTGGAAATGCCCTCAACCTTCCAAAATGGGGTTTTACAGGAAAGCATCCCCATTATGAGGCTGCTTGGGCAGGTTTCAGGGAGTAATTTGGCGCTCGTTGTGAAGCATCTGCTCATCGCCTCGCTTCAGCCGCCTGCGGCACGTGGGGCCGGCAGCTGGGGATTAACAACCATCTTCCTCACAGGGAGGGCACCTGCGGGGGAGAATGAGGCTGTCTCTGCACCGGTCATCAGCTGGGCTTGGTCTTATTTTTCCTTATCGCAAGCATCTAGCTGTTTTCCTGCTTTTGATCCGTTAGAGGAGTTACGAGGTTCCTTCCCAACGCCATGCCCGAGAGCCCAATTTGTATCCCTTTGGTTCTCCCATTAGAGACTCTCTTAGGCCCGGAGTTGTCTTTGGCTGAGCAAAAGCAAAGTGGCCTTTTCAGTGCCAGCTGGGATGTGAAAAGTCTTTCAAATGGGGTTGAAAACAGACTGTGATATTTCATTTTGTTTAGCGGTAGCATCTTGTTCTCAAAATACTAATTTTCATCTCATTTGCAAGTGTCGCATCTACCGTGATGGCAGACATAATGGAGTTACTTGTGAGCTCAGGCTGGTAGGGAGCGTGTCAGCTGTGCTTTCTAAGAAGGCGTGGAGGCCTGAGGATGGGTGTTACAATCTCACCTGAATCCAATTGACCCTCACTGGGTAGATCTAAGTGTTTCTTGGAAATAAGTTTAATTTTAGAAGTAAAATCCCAGCTCTGTGTGAAGATGTCTATGTAGTATATAAAATAACGTATTTTGCATTTGCGATGTAACACCAAATTATGAAATGTAGAAATTAATTTTAATGTAGTAATTCAGCCCTGCGTCAATTAAATTCAAATGAAAAAAATAATTTAGATTTATTTTTTATTTTGAATATGACAATATCATTAAAACCAACCTATGAATATCATTGGTTCCTTGGTTTGGTTTCCAGCACTTCAGACTTGTTTATAGGTTCAGAGAAGAACTAAAACTCCAGACAAACCTTATAACATTAGCGCTTACGAACCAAAGGTTCGTGTATATATAATGCCACAGATATTTGCTTTTCTAGATAAAAACTGTTCAAAGCCTATATTATACTACCCTACCCAACACAGCCTCCCCAGGACTTCCATCACACTTGGGTTGTGTATCCTGGGATGTGTTAGTGCTCCTCATCCACGGTCTTTCTTTGCAGCCCATTAAAATGAAAACCTGAATATCTAATAGATGTGGTGACAGCTGGCAGCAGAGAAGCATATGGCAAACCACGAGAGCTGTTATGGAGAAAGGTGTTTTATCTGAGGGAAATTGTACGTGGGAGTTACACTGTGTAGAAAACATAGTTGCATCCTGACACCTACCCCCTGTTGCTTTGTTATACCTGTTCCTTCTATCTGATGTTGAACAGTAGCACTGATTTTTTTGGTAGCCAACATTGTCTCCACAGTGTTTGAGGTAGATGACAAGGGCTCACACTTGTACATCTTTGCAGTACAGCTGCTGGGTATTCCAGCAGCTCCTTTAGTAGATCATCAGAAGCTGACTTTCCAGTGTGGGGGTTGTTTTTTTCCTCATTTCATCATCTTTTTCAGTAAAGAAAATGTGTATGTCTTTTAAGATGTTCCTGAAACCTATTTGAGTTTACTGCAAATATTACTGTTGCTGTATTAATCAGGAAAAAAAAAAGAAAGAAATATTATCTGTACTTTACTACTTTTGCTAAACTATCATTGTCACTTGCTAGGACTACATTTATTATGGGCTTCAGTGCTTCCTGTAATAACTAAATAGAAAAGCTGACAGTGTTATAAAAACTACTCTTAGTTAATTTTGTTGTTTCCAGCTACAAGCTGAATTGATTTTCCCACAGATCCTGAAAAACCGGAAGATTTCAAAGCAGTATAAAATGTTTATATCAGAAATAACTACTGAATTGATTTTCCCACAGATCCTGAAAAGCCGGAAGATTTCAAAGCAGTATAAAACGTTTTTATCAGAAATAACTGTTGAATAATTACATTGGATTTGAGGAACTACTAGCTGGAAATGATCTTTACAACAGCTTTAGTAGGTGCATAGTATAACATATAATTTTATTTGCAGAGTAAGGCAGCTGGAAAGAAAACAAAGGTTTACCATATTGCCAAGGAGATCATGAGCTCAGAGAAAGTGTAAGTGTCAATGTTAAACTTAACAGCTACTCAATTTATTCTGGTTGGGCAATTAAGAAGTAACTATTTGCTTTTTCTTGTTTTTCTGATAGGTTTGTGGATGTGCTAAAGCTCTTACACATTGTAAGTACCCAAAAAGAAGAAGTTTCCTTTCTGTTTGTTTAATTTCTTAAACTTCTATGTTTAGGCTTTGTTGTAGTGAATGTGACTTTTTTTCTGCTGTGTCCTACATATTCAAAATATAAAAATTTATCTAACTAAGCAGAACTTAAAATTTTCAGATTTTATCTAATGGATGAATATTTTGGTGCTTCCTTCAGCACCTCCTTAATTAATGTATGCAGTCTTCCAGCCGAGTGGGGATATTGCTTGAATATTGAAAATGGAATATATATCCATTTATGTTAATCAGCATCATATTTATAAGCCAGTTTGTACCATAGCAACCAAAATAAAATCTTTGGTTAGAATAACTTTTAAAGAAGCAGGGGGAGGCAGGAACAATTTACCTTTTTATCTACCATTTCTAAATACATATTCTTTAGGTAATCTAACTAATTAGCTCTAATGGTGCCTCTGTCACCATGGCAGCATATTTTGGGGGCTGCAATTCTTTGACAGATGCTTGCCTTCTGATAACAGCTGTGATTGTGCTACGTGCAATGTGTTGTCCACAGCAAGAGTTAAGTATTTAATCCATGCTCGTGCAGACTAGTCATCTGTTAAACGTGCTGTGTTGAAGGTGATAATACTAAATTAATGAAGAGTTTAGCTTTCTCTAGCTCCGTTTTATGTGTTTTCTGTCGATTTCGAAGTGATGCGTGTTTGTACCATTTCGTCACTCTAAGTGCAAGCATAGTGATTTTTTTCCTTGGGCTAGAGAAGTGGTTATATTGCAAACAGATGCATTGGTCTATCTCTGTCTCTTAAGAAGCATGTTCTGTGAAACTGGGAACAAAGGCTCTTATAGATGAACGTATACAGTCCTGTAATACAGAGATCTTTCAGGAAACAAAAAGACATGGCACACCACGTGCTGATTCCTCTTTTGCCTTCCGTTTTAGTAACTGATTTTCATACTCTGTTCAAGCTTGGTTTTTTAAAAGCTGGGTCAGGCAGTTGCGGCCAATAAATAATTTATATTCGACATGGTTTTTAGTATAGAACTCAAGCTTAAATTCTGGTTAGAGGAAGAGAGTTGTCTTAGTGAGTATAGACAAGTTTTAAGCGATGTGATTTTTAATTATTGTATTTTTCAGGCATATAACTTGTATCTTAAAGGTGCCTTCACTTTTCAGCATGCTAGTTCTTCAGGTAATATGCACAGTACTGGAAGAAAAGGCTGTTGGTGAGGAGGATGCAGGCAAACAGAGGAAGAATGTGGGAGAGGAAACAGAGTAGGAAGTTTAGGAAGTTTCTGGGATAAACTTAAGGTTGGCCGCACAGTGTAGATGTGCAATGCTGTAAGATGTGTTTTCCTTTGTTATAACAGGTAACTCGCAACTCTACTAATGACAGTATGCTGGGTTCTAGCTGCCAAATAAAAACCATTAGAAATGTTTTTGTTGGCTAGCAGTAACAAGCGATGTATTCAGCCTGGTCTAACAGAGAGGATGCTAGGCTAGGAGTCGAGGAAATACTTTGTCCTTAACTTGTCCATTGGTCCGCAGCAGGAAGCTTGATGAGCGTCCTTGTCAGAGGGGGCACCAGTTTTGAGGCTCTGTGTGTGTGCGTTCTTCACTAAATAAAAATTGCCATAGCTGAGAAAAGTTGCAGAAACACATTTTTTTTATTTCCACAGAGCAGTATGTCTGAGGGTTTGTGTATGTTCATCACAGACATGGTTAAATCCGTTTATTTAATCATGTATTTCTTGATAAAACTATCCTTTTGATTTCACGTGCACTGAGCCACTTTGGCTTACTAGCTTCAGCCTCAGGATTACTAACTGCAAGTCCAGCTACCTCTGACAGATTTCTGGAATTAAAACTTAGATTCTCCCCTAGGCTGGGGTGTTTTACCCATAGCAAAGATTTGGCTGGTCATGGGAGGCTCTGTTACACCTTCTGAACCATCTATTAGTGGTTTTCCAAAGAGTAAATACTTGAAACTTCGTGACTAATTTCATTAGCGATGATGTGAAATTAATAGTATTCTCCCCAGTCTTACCAGTGCTGGCGAATGCAGCTCATGGCTCTTAGTACAACCAGGGAACAGGATTGTTGATGTAAGAAAAAGGTTTTTACATTGCTACTGCTTAGAGCATTTGAAGTGGAGTCTAAAGCAGTTGAGAAGGTGGGAATGTGATTGCAAACTGGTTACAAGTACCACTGAATTATTTTTTTTTTAGCATTTTTTCTTTTATATTGACAAAGTCAAGTTAGGCGTAGCAACCCTTCCAAGATACCAGGGTGCCAGCCTGTTTGGGCGCTGTCGCGCTTTGTAAGTACACCTGATTGCTTCTGTTGAAGACAGACTACAAAAGTTCTCTAGAAAATTATAAACACTTGGCGACACTTCTATAATACAAAATAAGCTGGTCGTAACAGAGATAAGGGACTTAACTGGCTTTGCACACTGATACCCTCTCAGAAGTACTCCGTGAATGGGGTTGCTTGAGGGAATAATCAAACATTAGATGTAGTCTTGAATTCTCTGTCTTTCTGTAACTATGGTGATGCTCTTTTAGAGGACAAGATTCCAGTACAAAGCTGTTAGAAACTCCTGAAAACAAAGGGGCTTAAACCAGCTCCTCTGTATGCATCTTGGTGAGATGGTTCATGCATGGCCTCCAGAGGGTAAACAAGGGTTGGGGAGATGCAAGAAGTGCTGTGTCTTCCCTAAGGGCCCCTACAGGAAAAAAAAGGAACAGTGAACTGGATGTAAAACATAAGTGACTTAAGAGAAACAAGCTTGTCACCGCTGTCTGAGATGCTCTGTGCTCAAAAAACACCTGGTGTTCTGGAAAAGGAGTGAGGCAGGATTGGTGCCATTTGTACTTCTTTGTTGCGGGATTCTTTGGAAATGGTTTGCTTGGCACAAGTGAGAGGACCTCCTCAGCAGCCCCCGGGTGCTGTAAGGGTAAGCTGCCTGGCTTATTTGCTGCATTTCTTTTGTCCATTTTTGTTCTGAATTTTGTTCTTTTGCCAAAACCCACCACTCTTTTTGTTCTCCCATCCTTTCTGATTTCATTTTCCCCCTGCTGCTACGGTATGGGCAGTGAGGCTTCTGGTCGAGCAGAGGAACATGCTTTTTGGGATGGCTGCTTCCACTGCAAGGCTTAGTGTATAACTTTGTGCTGTGTGAGCAAAGAAAAGCTTAGGCCTGTGGGCTTTTGCCTGAGCCTTTAGATCTGCGCTTCTGACTTAGACCCCTGTTCTGTCCTTATTAGGACTCTGAGAGCAAGTAGGAGGATGTCAGGAGGTACCTCTTAACTTTTCTGCAGCCACAAGATCAGCCTCTTATTGGAGAAGGCAGATAAGAGGTCAAACATCTTTCTCTCTTTCTATTGTGCGTCCTTCCAGAGACACTTACAAGAGTGAGAAATTCCACTTTAATGTTTCCATTTTCAGAAGACAATTGCAAAATTATATATATGTTTGTGTGTGTATATATATAAACACCATATATATATATATAGTGTTATATTTGTCTAAAAACATAGACCTTTTGTATATTGTAGCCAGATATTATGAAAAATAATTCATAGTAAATTTGAAAAAAGAATGTAATGTGCATATTGAGAAAAGGAGCGTTTGGAGTAAAGGAAGTCCTAACCTCTGATCCTGGCTCACAACTGTCACCTACTGTTTGGCTGGGAAAAATTCTCTTCATGTCCAATTCCTTTTTTCTCCAACTGTAAAACTTCAATATTTGACCAGTCTGAGGTGAATATGTTGATAAATTTTTAGTCTATGCAGTGCTTTAGAATTGCTGATTGAGGCATTTGACAATGAATTGCAGCTGTAGTCATCTTATGAAGAAGGCTCATGAAATAGTTTTGGTTTGGAAGGAAACGTTGTACTACTACCCGGCCTGTTCCTTGGAATAACATTCTGGGAATATGCCAGAGTCCAATCATTGATTATTGTGAAAGATTAACTATCTTATATTGTTAAAGACTTATAAATGATTTTACTACTTGAGAGAAAAGGTGTGGAACTACTTGGCAGCTTTCCAGAAGCAATCTCATATGTTTGAAAAATGTCATGATCCACACTTACTCATAGTCTTCGTTAACTATCATTGCTATAGTTTAACTTAACATTTTATGGTTAAGAGTCTAACTGTAGTTAAGACTGCCTATTTGTACTTTAAATAATGTAGTTGTGCAATCTTCTGTAGCCGTATTCCTGGCAGTCGTGTTTACAGTTTGTCACATACAGCAGCCTGGCTGTTCCCCAGAGCATGAAACTTCCTCCCCTTCCCTCCTCCCCCTCGTAGGATGTGTGTGTGTGTGTTCCTTGAAAAGCGTCCAAGCACAAACATATTTTTTTTCCTTAAATTAAGCTGATATTTGAGCTATCTGCAGGTGTATTTAGCTGGGAGTTGTACCTCAGCGGAAGGGATTACAGCTTATTTTTGCTTTGCTGATGGTATGTTCTAGGAGAACAGATCCAAGATGAATATTGGTTGAAGCCTTAGGAGTAAAATATGTGACCTCGTTTAGATCATGTCGTTCTTTCTCTTCCAGCTAAATTTACAAGAAGTTTTAATTTCACCCAATTGAAATTCTCTTCATTCAGCTATTCGATACCGGAAGGTGCACTTCACCCAGTCAGCAGCTGAGCAAGGGTTTAGTCTGGGCTTGGTGCCTATTTGGGTTTACAACTAAACTTGCTCCTTTGCTCCTTAGACTGACGCGGGCAGATCGCTTTGCTACGCGCTGGGAATCCTCCGGTGGAAAGAACTGAGAGGGATCGTGAGTCAGGGCCTTTGCAGAGGGGAAGCGCGTGGGCTGCTCGCAGATGATTCACAACGGGGTCAGAGTTATGTCAGGTGTCACGGCCCTTGCCTTATTTAAGGGAGCTGCATTGAAGGAGAGGTGGGAGGGAACAAAAGCAGCGATGGTGGTACCCTCCTCAAATATGGTCTGAAAACTGCACAGCTCTAGCGGGAGTGTATACTAATAGGATAAATAAAATTCCCTAAACATTTTCAAGTTGAGAATGTTTTATCAGGCACTACTTCACCAATAATATGTACTTGGAAGCCTTTAAAACTGCCTAAACTAGATTTTCATATGGACAGGTACCCAGTGGGATGCTGTCTTAGTCTAGAATAAACTAAGACTGTTTCTGGTTTGGGAAGAATACGCTTTCCAGGGACGGTGATGAGTGCTGTCCTCTTAAAGTAGCTGCATGAAGACAATTGCCTTTGCCTAAGCAGTAAAAAGTGGTATCAGAAGATTATTATTGGACTAGAATATAATGTAGAACTAGAAACTGTAAGCCAGCATTTTAGAAAGTGTACAATAACCTCCCCTCTTCTGAAAGGAAAAATTATCCTGGTAAGAAGCTGGGATGATTCAGTGTAACTAGTGTAATCTTTTCTGTCACGCAGCATGTGAAACTTTTGTCTAGAGTTGCAAATGGTGTTTTTCAGTGAAATAAGCACGTTAATTCCAAAGCATGGCAAGTTTGGTTTGTTGTTTTTTTTTTTTAATAAGATTGTAATATTTAAAAGGCTCATTTATAATTAGAAAATCTCTCTTTAAAACTCACTGTAATGGACTGCTGCATGTCTTCAAACAGAATAATTTCTAGGACAACCTAGGTGCCTGTCTTTGAACAGACTGATGAAAGCAGTTCTCTTCAGCAGTGTTATATAGTACTATATGCTAAATACGTTTGTAATATGAATCACTTCTGGCAGGTATATGTAGATATCAGAGCAATATGTGTAGTATTTGCAGCAGCAATTCTGGTTTTATTTAGCAGTGAACAGATTTAGTTTTAGAAGGAATTGGGTTCTGGTGTGTTAAATGACTATTACTGCAATTTCTAATTTCTGAGTCGTTCACCTACTTGTATAAAAAATTGTCCTTATCTGAATATGTTTGACCCTTTGGAGTGAAATTTCGGGGTTTACTTTTGAAGTTAACGTATTCTACATTTGGTGATGAAAGCAGACCTATTCTATGTTTTGTCCTTTTGGATAAGAGATCACTTTTTCAGAAGGGCAGTACCTTCAAGGGTAAACACTGTTAACTCCAACCTTGTTAGGTTTGTTTGACTTTTTCCTGCCCCAACTCCTCAGGCATGTGCTGTCTGCCTTCACCTCTGAAGTTTATCTCAAGATGAACTTGGCATAACAGTTACTTCACACCCACTGCCAGGTTAAAAATAAATCTTAATAGGATTACAGTGACAAATGCATTGTACTGCTTCTGTGGTGAAGACTTGATAATTTTTTTTTAAAAAAAAAAGGCGTTGGAGATTATAGCTCTTTTGTTGTTTAGCAGGCTGGCTTGCATCGTTCGAAAGCTTCACGTTATCTTTTTCCCCTGCGTTTCCTCTCTGCAGGGCTTCCTCCGTTTACTCAGTTGTGGAGAGGGAGATGGAGCGGGTGATGAAACAAAGTTTTGGTTGGCTGTTTTAATGATAGAACCTTGCCTGGTGTGATCCAGAGCCTGATGAAGCTGATGGACTTTGGATCAGGCTAGTTGAAAAACCAAATCTGTATTTGGAAAACATCCTGCAGACTCTTTGAATGCTATATCTAGAAGTTAAATAAATGCTCTTAACTACAGATGACATTCCTGTCTTATCTACTGGTGCTTAAACCTGCCTCCTGGCTCTCCTTTTATTGTTTGGTCAGGGAAAAGCCTGGGTTGTTGATTACGCCACAGACAACACTGCTTTTCTTTTCATCCTGCAAGTAGCCTTATAACATTCAGACAAAATTCTTGTTTCATCCCATGGCAAAGTACATACAGTATATTGTGCGTGCATGTGATTTGGGGGGTGGGGGCGAATATTATCATAATATGATGATGCATTTTGCATGAAGCTCTCCAGAATGCCTCATTTGAGCTTTTGCCATTGTAATTCCATGTATCATTTCAGTGTTAAGCAATGCCCTAGGGTCAGGGAAACCCATAAGATGCAGCTGGTAGTTAACCTATGTGTCACTAGTCTGCACAGAGGATGTAAAACAGAACATTTCCATATGAATAACGCCATCTGTTTTTTAACTCCCTTGCATTTAGTTCTCAGCCTTCCCCCGTCACAGCCATCGCCCTGTATCTCCTTTCAGTTTCTTGTCATAACTCTGCCGAGTCACAACCTTCATGACCCAGAGGGTCACAAACCAAGCAAGCGTGTCTGGAGCGCAGGCTGCCCAGAGCTGATGTCATGAGGAGAGAGGGCAGGGGAAAGTTGAGAGACCCTAAATGGTGCCAGATGCTGGACTGATGCCATAACTAGTAAGACCTGTAGTAATAGTCCTGGGGAGAGGGAAACAGGGGGCTTAATCTTTTTTTTTTTTCTCTCCCCCACCCCAACCTCGAGGACCCTACAAATTTTCAAAGGCAGGTGTGGACCCTATGCACATTTAAAATATAACTCATGGTTGTACTTAGGAACATGTTGTTGGTCACTTTTTTCAGGATATCTATAGATTGTGGACATGCTGTCAGGTTTCAGTAGACCACAAACTCAGAAAGAGCTATTACGGATTGTCTTTTTTCCACTGTTGCTTGAATTCAAGTGAGACGCGGTAATACAGCGCACCACTTAATTTGGATTTTCTTTTTTGTCAGTTTGGACAGTGTTGTTGTTCAAGTGAAATGCTGAATTGCTAACTTTTTTGAAAATTTTGTTTGCATGTGATCAGGGAAAATACCTCATGTAATGGATACTGAGTTTCAGCTGACTTGTGTGGGGCCAAGATTTTAATTCTGATTAGTTTAATGAGGATCGATAAGCCTCAGCTCTGTCCTATTGGGAGCTGCTTATAGCATAAAAATGCTATAAGAAGATCCTTCATGTGTAAGTGGGGTTTTCCTCCTCCCTGTAAATGTTTTGAAGGTACCAGTGTTGGTTTTGATCATTGTTAACATTTGGAAACTCATGTTTCCCATATGTTGTTACAATATCTTTTTGTTAGATGTTAATTTTCCTGTATATAGAAGGGCTGCTACATATAGTAATTTTTTATGACCCTACATTTTTTTTCCAAGAGGCACGTCTTCCAAAAGGGCATTAGCAGATGACTTAGGAAAATTACTAAAACTTAAAAATAAGATATTATGATAGTGTTAGCTGACTCAACATTTTTGCTTTTTGACCCAAATATTAGCAAGAAGATACCGAAGGCTGCCAACACCCTTGCTTTTTTATTCCCGCCCCTTAGTTTCCTCATATGTAGTACCAGCACATTTCTTAAGGGCATGTTATAAAAATAATGAACAACTTCTATATTATGCATACAGGAGCAAGAAAGTAAAGCTCCAGCATCAAACCAAAGGGATTAAGGCAGTCCCAGGGGAGTAAGTTGAAGCTGCAGAGAAACATAACCCAGATGGTACCCGCCTTGCCTTTGGTAATAGGGAACAGCGCCTGGAATGTCTGCAGAGAGAAGGCCCTTTTCTGTCTTGGTGCTTTGAAGGCTGTTCGCTCATGGGAAGGGGGGTTTCTGTCCTCTTTGTACTCCGGCAGGATTTCCGGGACGCTGTGGCACATGCCTCTAGGCAGCTTGGAAAGCCAGTGATTGAGGACAGAATCCTGAATCAGATCCTGTACTACCTACCTCAGCTGTACGAACTCAATCGGGACCTCCTGAGGGAACTGGAAGAGCGATTATCTCACTGGTGACTATCAATAAAGGGATACTGCTCCTTTGATGTTGTTGAAATTTATCTGTGGGGCTTACATGACTCCATGTGCCACGGTTTGACTCTTGCTTGTGTTTCACATGCCTTCTTAAATGACGGAATTGACTTTGAAAGTGCAGGAGACAATTTTCCATTTAGATGTACATTTTGCCATTTAGATGTATCCAGAAAGGTCCAGAAGGCATGTCAATACGTGTTTTTAGCAATCATACTTTTTTTTCTTTAAAATTTCATTTTTAATTGAAAGTTCTGGTCCCTGCATGGGCATGATAAGTGGACTGATTTCATTAGAGGAAAAGGAGGCTGTCCTGAAGACCCGTTTGAATTTTAAAGGTAGTTGAGGTCTACTAACCGGACACAGCACTGATTGACAGCCACAATCCCATTGAAGCCCATTCTCTGTTACACTGGTGGGTGGACCTAAATCAGCTATACAAAACCTAACGACAAATGCACTGAAATGGGTAAAACCTGTAATGCCATGCTTGCTATTAAGGGCTGGAGACTGCATCTTGAAGTTTGAAGACCTGTCTCCTCTCAAATCCAGTTTATACTAAAGCATGCAAACGGTTCAAGAGCATTTTAAACAGACTGTGTATTAAGTGGTTGTCATCTGATACTAAACTAGTGTGTCGAGGTGTACCTGGTAAGGTTCTTCAGAGTGGGTACTGAGATAGATACCTCTCTGCTGAACTGTAAGCTTTTTGTTCAGAACATAAACTAGCACATCTTACTGTGGAAAAAGAGAGATGTTTTGCTGTAGGGTTAAGATGTACACTCTTTTTAGCTCTTTCTAATTGCTCTCTTTTTTGTTTCTAGGCTCGAACATCAAAGAATTGCTGATATATTTGTTAAAAAGGGTCCCTACTTAAAGATGTATTCAACTTACATCAAAGAATTTGATAAAAATGTTGCACTATTAGATGAACAGTGTAAGAAGAATGCAGGTTTTGCTTCAGTAGTCAAAGATTTTGAGGTACTGTAGTCTTTTGTAAGATACATCCTATTCCGTGGCTTTTCAGCAGTTGTGATCCTCCATAAGGCTTTAGAGACTCTCCTCTGATTTTAGTTGGGTTTTTTTTGTTTGATTTGATTTTTTGTTTTGTTGTTGGGTTTTTTTGCTACAGTCTTGGCTTGAGACTTAGTTGAGTGGAAGTGAAAAGAAGTAAATTCAGATTTGGTGAAGTAACTAGTGATTTTGGCTACCACTGTGAGATATGATAAAGGACCTTGATTTTCAGAAAATGCAGCACTTGCTACAGATTATATCAAAGACACATTAACAAAACCTCTATCTGCTTTTTTTTAGTTTTGTCTCCTGGTCGTACTCTGCACTCATTAACTGTCCTATTTTAACCAGGTTGATTTCTCTACCACATCATAGGGCAGTAGCTTACTCATGGAAATGCTGTTTCCAGAGCTCCCTTCCAACCTCAACCCTTCTGTGATTCTGTGATTTCAGTTGGAAACATAAAAAAAATGAATTTTCTTATCTGCGTATTTCTAGCAGTTTCAAACCCAGCACATGCAGCAATCAAATGAAAGCTGATTCATGTCCCTAAGAGCATTGCCAGATTTTTGCATGACTCCCTTAAATCAGAGAAGAGATGCAAGCTCCCTAAGTGTGTGATCCACACAAACTGTGAATTGACCTCCTATTACGTGGGCTTTCCTTTGGGTAACCCCTGCTCTCTTTGTGGGCGAGTGGTTCGAAAAGCGACTTACAGTGGGCAAAGGGAGAGCTTGAGCCAGCAAAGACAGGCAGAAGATATAAGAGGCCTTTTTAAGGACTTGGTGTTTCAGATGCATGTTATTTTGCATGCAAACTCAAGAAAATGAACATTTTTGAAGCATAGATCTTTAATTCTCTGTTGTCTTTAGAAGTGTGGATTAATTAAAACTTGTGCAGTGAGCACTGCTGTCTTCTCTGCCTTTCTGCCTAATGGACGCTGACAGCGATTACAAAGGAGCGTGTCGCCCTTGCCACCGGTGTTTCCTTTATTTCTGGGAAGCTCCACCTCTCTTCCTCATAAGCAAAAGCACCTGTTTTGAATCCACAGAGTATGAGTGCTTACCACTGTCTTTTAAGGCACGATTAATTTTGCATGCAGCCTTCCGCACGGCAATGCTTGCTCCGTCTTGTGGTGTTGAATGCTGGTAGTCGCACCTTTTTAAGATAACGCTTATCCAACATAATTGGCAGTGGTTTGTAGGTATGTTTTCTTTTGCTGGAACCCTTGAGTACCACACAACCGTTACTTATTTTGGGTGTTTCTTTCAGATGAGCCCCCGCTGTGCTAGTCTGGCCCTCAAGCACTATCTGCTCAAGCCGGTTCAGAGGATTCCCCAGTACAGGCTCCTGCTGACAGGTACGGTCAAGCTCTTTTGCCGGCTTAAGAAGCCAGTCTTCACGCATCCCAGGAAACTTGTTTGCAGGCAGTTCTATTCACCTGTAGAATGTGTTGATCTGCCGTCAGATATGTTGAAGCTTTTTTAAAAACATGGCATGGGTTTAGAGGCTTTCCTTGTGAATATTGTTTGCAATAAGATACATGAGCGAGGTGCTAATATTCCCAACCCTGTTCTGTGTTCTCTGATGGCACGTTCAGCCGTACTTGGAAAATGTGAAACCTGTGGTGGATTTTGTTTCTGTGGTAATACAAGGCCATAATTTCCTTAGAGGGTTGGAATGCTCCTGTTTTGCTTTGGGGTTTGGTTTTTTTTTTTCTTTTTTTCCAGTTTTTTGGTTTGGTGGGGTTTTTTTTTAAACAAATGAAAAGGGTAGTGTGGAAAGTTGGAGCTGGGAGAAGGAAGTGAAAGATGTCTGTGCAACTGTGAAGTTCTGCAAGTAGCTTCTCCATTTCTCCCCCACCCAGGTATTTTGTCTGTAAAATCCATTCTCTTTTAAAGGCAAAACACGTTTTTAGTGTAAGTCTAGCAGTGAGCGCTTAAGACTTTGTTACAGGGGCATTGTGGGCTGAAGAGCTGGCTTGGGACTAGGAAATCTGGGCTCTAGACCCTGCTCTGGCACTGGCATGTCTGGGTGACCACGGGCAAGTCCTCTCCATGATGCAGTGCTTTTTTTTCTGTAGAAGGAGGGCAATGATAGAGGCCTCCTTTGTGAAGTATTTCGAGATGTGTTTGTTGTAAGAGGGGGATGGCTCCTGTAAGGATTTGGAAATACTTAAGGCATTGTTTTTGAAAGCCGTTGCTTCTTGATGAGCAATTTAAAAATAGCCTATGTTTATGTAGTAACTGCAAAATAAAATGCTCTGTGACCTTTTTTTTTGGCTCTGTAGCAGCTTGTTGGCATTTCCCCAGCAAGTACTTAGACTAGTGATGCTGTGGGAGATACGGATGTAAGTGTTATAGAGCAGTTACCAAGTTATTAACGTTGACTTTTCATTTTAATCATCTCATTAAAGTCACAGGTGTTGAAAAAAGGGTGAAAACCCCTTATTAAACAGAGTACTTTGTAGAGTAAATCTTAGCGACTCTTAATTGATAAAATCAAAGCATAAAACGGCATTTGGGGAGTTCCTTTATTTTAAAAGGATTCTGACTTAGGGCACAGTATAGGCTTGTTATACACTCCAAAATGAACAGAGCATTGGATAACTTCAAAGGTTTTAATTAACAAGGTTGAACAGCGGATCAGGATGGAGTAAATGCCAGTGTCAATATACCTAGCGAAGCAAGAGATGTCAGGGGTGAACGGCACTGAAACAAAACTCAGATGTTGAAGGGGAATTCCTTGTGATCATTAACTGTCCTTGTGGCTGGGACAGGCTGGTTTAGACCTGAAAAAAAAACTCTTCTCTGGTGACAGGGGTTGCTGTGGGTGTCCCCAGTCTGCAGACCTTACTGTGGCTGCCCAGCTTTAAATACACCTGCAAACGCTACCGACAGGAACGGAATTGCAAGGCTGGCCGCTGATTCAGAAAAGTAATTTTCTCTTGTTCTATGGGAGCAATAAAAGTGGTCGGACTAAGAATTTTATTATGCTGGGGAGGGTTATTGTGGATCTGCTTCATTTTCAGTCAGTTCAATCTATCGTGCATTTCTGTTGTCTTGAGAGTCTCCCTCGTCCGTATCTCTGTGGATGACCCATCTGCTCTGGTACCGTCCAGCAGCTCTGTGTCATGTTGAGCAATCTCTACATAAATTTGTGCTGCAAAACCTTTGGAGGACATGCAAAATATTTGGATCTATGTGTTGCAGGGGGTGAGATGCAGCAGCTGCCCAGGGTGAAGACGGGGGGGATCGGTGGGCAAGGGAGGAGGGGGCAGCGGATGAGAGCAGAGGAGCGAAAATAATCCAGGAAACGAAGCTGCTGGGCCCAAGTCAGCAGGGATTCCTTCCTATTTAGATGTTCTGTGTCAGTGGGACAGCTTTGTACTGGTAACCTGCTGCTACACGGTCACATCACAAGCTTGTTGCTGTGCTTTGAAGTGGGGTTACTTTTGCACTAACAAAAGTGGGGAGCAGGTGGACTCATAAATCAGCCAAGGAGAGGCACAGCTCAGCTGCGTTTCTGTTTAATTATACAGCTTCTCCAGTCCAGCAAGTGAACTTCCACTTCTTCACATACTGGCCTCAGGCTCTATACAGCAAATATTAGATGGGTTTTTGGGGAGGTTAATTAGAGGCTTCTGATTTCTAATGGAAATGAAAGAGAGGTGATTCTCTCCTCCCAAAAACCTCTGATTTGAGTAGATGACTTGAGACTGTACAATACGAACAGGCTATTTACTGTCAGAGGATAAGCCTTACTCCTCTTTTTCTCAACATAAGGTTTGCAGAGAGAGAAGATTTTATTATCCTTAACTGGGGTGTAGTGAGAAGAGGCTGAGTGGGATGAAGAATAAGCCTTTGAGCACGCTCCTCCTTTGCAGGTCGGAAATAGTTGTCGGACTTGAGGCCAATTATGTGTTGGGGAACGATTGCTTTGAGTTTAACTTAATTAGATTAGACAATCGGAGACAAAAAGTAGTTAATGAAGCAGAAGAGAATTTTTAGCAGGAGAAGAAGTGATAGTCGCTGCCCGCCAGCAAGAAGGAAGAGAGAATTGCTGCCTGCTGTCAGGTAGAAGCAGGGCATAAGGAAATTGTGTTTGTCACAGAAACAGTACTTGTGTGCTTTTGTGTTGATTTTTGTTGTGTTTTGGGGTATCCAGCAGAGTTATGACTTTTGATTTCTAAGTCTGCCATTCTGAAGGTATGCCTAAGGTCTTCGTAGTCTGAAGAACTAAAGTACATTTCAGAGGGGAAAAATTTTGGCAAAGACAGTAGATACCATTCCACCTTAACATTTGAGTTCTGTATTTATTTGATCTAGGAATATTTTTGCAAAATTTTTACTGTAATGTTATTCATGTCTGTGAAATCCGCTTGTTTGTGTAGTTTAAGCCAGTACCTCCAGAAAGTTGTTGCAAGCACAAAATTTCCAGTGTGCATTCACAGAAGAGACTAAAAATATCTGTTCTGATGCTTCTCTGAAGTGGAGTTTTTAGCTATGAACTGAGGTCCAGTAACCAGATAAACATAGAGAGTATTAAGATAAAAATTATGTATTTCTCGCTTTCAGGATTTTACAGTCGCAGGTTTTGTTGGCTGCTTCAGCCTTGTAATGCAAAAGCTGCCTTCCTTTTTAAATACAGAATTTTAAATGAATGCAGTTACGTTAAAATCTCTAATTTTCCCTCTTCTATTCACTGATGATATGATTTAAAATGCTAGAATATACCCATCCAAAAAATGTTTTTGGTGGGTAGTAAAGTGGTGTTGTTTTGGGGAACATGTCATAAAGCACGAATATGCCAAGAAACAGTTAGTTCCCACATTGGGTCTGTGGTTTTAAGTTTCCAGTGTAACTACTTTGGATGCCTCCATGTAGTAGGGACAGTTTCTTAGAGTGCCAGCAGTACGTTTGCAGATGAGTAAATTTATACCCCCCTCACCTCTCGTTCCCAGCCGGTGGAGGTGAGAGTGTGCTTGGCAGCTTTAAGAAGCTGGTATTTCTCTATAAGCTATAAGGACTCCTCCTTTATACTGGGAGGTTCCCACTGGACTCCTCTGTGCTGGCACTGACGAAGATCCAAGTTGTAATTGTAAAGCTTTAACTTGTTTGCTTTATGGCGGAGTCCCAGGAGCGCTTTGCCTGGGCAGTATGGCACAGCTCCGGCTGGAGAGAGCACCCGTCAGCAGGCAGGGCAGGGGCTGTATGTGGGATAGAGGTTCCTCTAGGTTAAACCTTTCAAAATGCCTCCTGCTGATTTATTATTTTTTTTCTCTCACACCAGCTTCTTAACAGCATAACCCAAGGTGTGAAGCAAGATGAACTTTGTTTTTAATGGAATATATGCCCACCTAAATGTTGCACTGGAATGTCTGGTAGCTACTACAGCGCAAGACCTTGAGGGATGTGAAGGATGCAATATTTATGGAGTGTAGCTGGAGAGGTTTTGGTGCTATGTCAGGCTTGTCTTAAAAGATCACACGTTGACCAGCGTCTGATAATGATCAGAGGAGACTTGGAGGAGAGCAGAAAGCTGTGGGTGTTCCCGTGGCCCGGCCAGCCAGACCTCCCAGCGCTCCCTCCCCGCTTCCCTGCAGGAGAGCCCAGCCAGTTCCTCTTCCTTCGCCCCCAACCTGCTCTTCATGCTTCTCGCTTGGGTCCTCCCTTAGGTCTTTGCCAGAAAATAAAACGTCAGTGCCAAATATTTTAATTCCTGTAGGTCTGTTTTTCTCAAAGCTTTCATTAACTGTAACAATAGTTCTCACTCTTCATAGCATTTCTACTGCAGAAACATGTTTCACAATTCCTTTTTTTTTCTTTTCTTTTTCTTTTCTTTTCTTTTTTTTTTTTTTGCATAAGGAACAGATTACAATACACTGAGCGGTCTCTGAGGGGCATGCATGAAGCAAGACATCTTGTGAAGGCAGGAACAATTGGCTCCTGATCCTTCTTGAGTAAAAGGATGAATTTGGGTAGGGCAAGCATATGGGAGTTGAATTATTTCACTCCTATGTGAAACTTGTACAACTGCGAAGCTAAAATTGAACGCTTGCTAGATCACATACGATCAGTTTTTAGCAGATCTACCGGAATCTTTAATACCTCATTTAAACAGCAAATCTAAATTAGTATTTGTTGATATTATCAATCTAACATGTCTATTTCTTTGAAAGTTTCTGACTTGGTTTCTTTCAATTTTAAGCAGTTTGAAGTTGTAGCTTGTAGAGAATAGACGGTTGACTTTTTGCTGAAGATATATATTAATCTTTGACAGGATATTGTACTTTTTGGTGAACTAGACACTCGACCAGGGACTGTAAACTCGAAGGGCATGTTTTCTTGTATAGTCATACATTTGGAGTTAATTTTAGCTGAGTAAAATAGATTTGAAAACTACCAAGACTTTAATGGATTGAGGGTGCCATCTCGTGGTTGAGGAACTAAAATTGTAATTGAAAACCAGAAATGCTTATTTGAACATTGGGGGGGGAAGGGGTACAATACTTTTATTGTTGAAAAATATTAATCATAATCAGATCTTCAGCAATGGGATACTTTTTTTTCTGAACTCCTATAGACAAGTTACGTGCTCAGGTAGATATCTATAATCTTCAAAATTTTTTGCATCAGCTTAAATGTAAGTGATTGCAAGTATGTACTTGTTTTTCACTTGCTTGTTTTGTTCTGGAATAATACAGACATCATGTCATTTGTCTTTGGCGAAGACCACTGCTTCAATAACCTTCTTGTCCCTGAGCAAGATGTCATGATATACTTTCATTATGGAAATGTTAGTTTTTCTTTTGTTACTACTTTCACAGATTTAAAAGATTAAGTAGTAAATTTTGTGGCAGAGGTCGACCTGAAAAGCAGATTTCCAAGAAAAAGGTGGGTTTTACTACTTTCTGGTGCTGTTCATTACTTTAACAAAACTATATATATTTTTTTCTTTATACAGATTATTTAAAGAATCTTTTAGAAGAATCTGCAGACTATAGGGATACTCAAGGTAAATATGTCTTTAGATTAAAGACATAACAGCTTAAGTACATATGATAAAGTTTCGAAATTTTAAATGTATGCAAAATGCTAAGCCAGTCATAGAAATGTTTTCTATTCAGTTCTAAGTTTCTCAGCGCAGACAGTTGAACGATTGCAAACTTGTGTTTCAGACCAGTTTGGAGCCAACAGTGGTATCAGCTCACCCTTGAGCTGAAACCAAGAGATAGAGAGTGACGTTCCACAGGCAGCTCAAGCAGATATTTTGGGCGCTGCCATTGAAAGAGACAGTCCTTGCATCTGTAGACCTTCCATGATAGGCAGTCTGGTCTTCCAGCTGCTCTCCCCCAGCGATGAGCCTTTCTGGCCTCCTCCTCCTCTCTCTCTTTGTGCCAGGACAAGTGGGAGTGAACAAGATCAAGGAGCTGCTCTGGGTTATAGTTAACCTGAGGAGTTCTCCACTTTGACTTGTCACAAGCTGCACAAACACAAGTGACTTCCACAAGTTTGCCTGCTTGGGGGGGGAAAGCAGGTAAGAAGAAATGAGACGGAATAGTTGGGGATGGAAGAGGACCGGACTACATATTTCATAGTAGTTTGGGATTAGGCTGGTTTAACTTGAGCGTAGCAATGCAATGCACATTCAGACTGTTTCCTTCTTCCATGCGTGTGCCTCGACAGTACTAAAAATGCTCCCAGTTGATGTTCCCATTTCATTTGCGTGAGCCCCTGTCATTTATTTCAGTCTCTTTAGTGACATTTGTGCAAGCCCGTTATCTTTAGGAAACATTTGTGCAGATGTAGTTGATTGGACTGCAATAAATGAGTGCCTTCAATGCACTGAGCAGAGTTTGCTTTCTTACAGCTTTGTCTGCTGGTACAGTACCATGAAATTTATGAGTAAATATCTTTCTTGGGACATTTAGACATATTTGAGTATATTGAAAATATAAGCCAAAAATATTTTCAATTGTGACTGCTTAAGAAATAGAATAAGTTTGTCTTGCACTTCTTACGGCTGTGAACAAACTAGTGCTTGCACTGCACATTAAATAATTGACCACTTGAAAAGTGAGCAACTTAATATCTCTATTTCACTTTACATTTTCTTGTGATTTCTCCAGCTTCTGTGTTTTCTGTAGTTGTACCTTCCACTATTTTTCTCTCCTTTCATACATCAAAGATAAAAGCAGAACCTTAGTTGTAACCGTAACAATGTTAACTTTATGCATTTGACATGTTTAATAGTCTCTCTTTGAAACTGGGTAAGAAAAGAAAATCTATTCTTTACTCACCAAGATCTTTCTTGTGATAATTAAGCTTAACTTAGAACTGACTTTGCTTAGTTGTTAAATTCTGTTGTGGGGGTGGGGGGAGACTAGGTTTGGTTATGGTTAGTATTCTTGGGGGAAAAAAACAAATAACACAATTCTTCCGGGTGACCTTCATTTGAATACATTACTCCAGCTAAGTGGTATAAGAATTGGAATGCTCTTCCCTGCCAAAACCCACTTTGTTTATGGACTTTGACCCTACAGATTATTTTATGTTGTTGTTTAGATTTGTTTAGTCTTGGCTCTATAAGTAGTCCTGAGATCCTGGAACTTTCCCTTTAATAACCAGCAATTTTTTTCTAACATTCTTCAGTCTTTCTTGAAGTCAACGAGTAAAATTTTATGTTTTTAATAGATATAATAGCTGATAGATGAAGGAAGGTATAACAAAAAATTCAGGTACTCATTCCTGTCTTGATGAATTTAGCCAAATTTCCCTTCACTTTCTTTCAAGCAAATGGGAGCTGGGGAGTGTTTTGGCTGGAGCAGCTCCAACATTTCCTAGTAGGAGACCACCAGCTATTTTTCAGCAGGCTCAGTTGACATCATGACATCTATATCTGAACTTAAATTTTGATCGAATGCTTGATATGTGCTATGCCTTTTAACTGTTTGACTCCTGTGCTTGCATTGCCTTGGTTCATGAAAATCTTGAACAAAAATTCTCCTTAGATTGACTTAGGAGGAGGTTTTTGTTTGCACCTCAGTTTGGGCTTCATGACCTTCTGAACCTTTCAGTTCAGATAGCTGTATCTTTTAACATGCTTGCTTTCTGAATGTGAACTGGACAATAAGGGAAGTATATGCATTCTGCAGTGCTGATACCCTAATGATTATCTGGAAAAAACCCCCAAGGCTTTGGTTTTACCTGGTTTGGTAGGCTTCTCTGTGGACTTTTAAGGAAATGGAGTTCCTTTATTTCAAGTGCCTGACTGCATTTCAGTTACTCAGAAGGTGCTAAATGCTTTAGAGACTACCATTTTATCAGAGCAATTGTTCTAGCTTTCAATTAAATGAGTCTGTCTTTTTTTTTTTTTCCCTACTTAAGTAAATTACAGTTTTTTGGATAAGATCCTTGGATGGGTTCTGTCTCATGTACATTCACTGTTCAGTAATTTACATAATCCTTTTATATAACCTCTTTTTGGAGTTACACTATTGCATATATTACAGCCAAGTTGCTAGTTATTAAATATCAGTACTTAGTAAAATCCCTCATCTTTGGTAACTCTTCTCTTTCAGAGATTTTGGGTTTTTTTTCTTCTAGTATTAGAAGTTTGAAATTTAGAAATTTGAACTTTATTCTATTATCTTGAGGTGTGCAGCAAAACTAAAGGCAGAATAAAGAAATCACAAAGATTTGGATAATTTTTCTATTTTCTAACAGACTGGCACTGGAGGCAGTTGTGTAAAATGGAAAAAACTTAATCTCTGCATAGTCTCAGTTAAAATGTTGTTCACTTTTCTGTTGTAAGTAGAGACACTGAAATTAAAGTAAATCTTTATGTGAGAAACTAGAATTTAATTTTGCTTGTGGACTGTTTTGATTAGCTGTAAGAACTGATTGACACTGTTGGTTGAAGCAATGACTTGCTAGGACATATTCATTAAACTGTGATCCAAAGCCTCTGGGATCTCCAGGAGGTGCTCCTGAATGCAGTGACCATACAGTCAGGGCCTTGAATCTTGGCACGATGTGGAAGGGCAATATTGTACCTGTGCTTTACATCATACCAATGCTAACTTGTCTGTATAACCAAAGCATCATTTCTTCATCCTTCAGATGCTCTAGCTGTTGTCATAGAAGTTGCAAACCATGCCAATGACATCATGAAGCAGGGAGTAAGTATTTTGACTTATGAAGCTAGTTGATTAAAGTTTTTGTGTCCTTTTTTTTAAAAAAAAAAAAATCATCATGGGTGCAAGGGCAATGACTTACCTTTTGCTTTTTCTCCTTGTAGGATAACTTTCAGAAACTCATGCAGATTCAGTACAGTTTAAACGGACACCATGAGATTGTACAGCCAGGACGGGTAGGTCCTCCAGGTGGCATTCAGCAGATTCCAGTAAAAGTGCAGCACAGGTGATACACAAGCAAAGTACTGAAGCTGAAGAAAAATGGTCCATTGCTTAATTATTCAGTTCTAACAGTCAAATGAATACTGCCTCTCCATATGTGTGGGGTTTTTTTAGACACTTATCTGACGAAAACTTACGATTTTTAGAATATGATTCCTTGCCAGATCTTGCAGGCAGGTTTTTTCCTCAAGTTTAACCTTGTATTTGTCATGGTTTCAAGCGCAGCTTGGAAAACTGTAATGCAGCCATTCACACTCACTTCTAGAGAAACCTAAGAACAAACAGCCTTTCTCAGAAAGGGAACCTTGAATCCCAAAACTTCTGCAGCATTTCAAGTGTAGTAGTAGTAGTAGTAATAATGATGATGATGATGATGAAGAAAAAGTCAGCTCATTTGTATAACTTGTGCCCTGAAAAGCTAGGCTTTGAATTGCTTGTTTTAATTTGCTAGGTCTTTCTGAAAGAGGGAACACTGATGAAACTGTCTCGGAAGGTCATGCAGCCACGAATGTTTTTTCTGGTAAGATGCTGGGTATGTTGCTGTGTGCCTAACACTCATGTAATTTTAAGTGGTTGAAACATTACACCACAAACATAAGTAACTAATAACTTCAGGTAGTGGAGAGAATGACCAGTTGTTGTGGCTCTAGTTGCTCAGTTCTAATTTAGAGAGATCGTCTGTTGCATATGCGCTAATTTTAATAGAAAACTGTTTCTCACTAAAATGTACTGTTTTGAACAATGCTCATCTAAATTTGAGCGCTTTTATGAGAAGACATTATCTGTGGTAGTGCGAAAACAAAAACAGTTACTCCATCCCACTTAACCATACCAGATCTTAAAACCTACAACTCCACCGCTGTCATTGCACCTTTCCCTCCTTCCATCCCTCCTCCTCCTCTCCCCTTCCCCTGCACGAAGCACTGGGCTGGAAGTGAAGTGCTGGGTTCTCTTCCTGTCTCTGCTACTGTTTTGTTGTGCAATTTCTGAGCATCTCTGAAGTTTCTGTTTCCACTTGAACCTTTTGTTTATCTTGTCTATTTAGATAGTAAATCAACTGTTGCTGTGTGTAATTTGTGGATTATTGGTCCACAGTCCTGGCTGAAATCTGTCTTTTAGTTACTGTAGTATGAATAAATATTTCCCTAGGCAGCCATGGAGTATGTATTCTAAGCTTGCAAGTGCCTGATGTATGCTCTGGAGGTGACTTTGTAGTGTATAAAGCACTGAGATAACTGCAAATGACATCAGTTCAGGTAATACTCTCAAAAATCTGGTGCTATCTTGAGCTGGACTTCCCAAATCAGATGTTGCTAATTTGAGCGTCTTGAATTTTTTTTGTTTTGTTTTTGGCTTTTTTAGATATAAAAGTGCAGATTCTAGTGTTTATACTTTTAGACACTTCAGCAGTGATTTTTCCACTGATCATGATGTGAAGATTTAGTAAGGCTCATGAAAAATTTAGTTATTTTGCAAAGAACCTCACAGCAAAAGCTTAGGAGACAGTTCAGTTTTCTGGTCTGTGTTTATGTGCAGTAAATGAAGTTTGGATCCATGTGTTGAACAACACAGGAAAAAAAAATAAAAATCCTAATAGCTGTTCAGTAAGTGCACTGAATGAAGCCAAGTCTGGTAGAACAGGAAATAAACAGTAGATGCACATTTAAACGGGTAAAATTCACATGGTACGTATGGTAAGTTTGTCCTTATAATCAAAAATTGCTTATCTTAATTCTGCTACCTCCGATTTTCTGGAATGTTTTGCTTTGAATGGGTAATTCTAATATCCTTTTAAAGTAGTTTGTTATACGGTATAGCTGTGCACAGGAGAAACATTTTTGTCCTTTTTGACAGCCTGTTCTTTGACATCCGTGCACTGTTTACTCATGTGCCAAATGTATATTTACACAAGGAGGATATAAATAGACACCTATTGTTATCTAAATTCATACTTGAAATTGTTTCTTGGGTTTTAAGTGGAATAATAGGAAGTAGAAGATGCCCTTCTGGACAGTTGATCTCAGTGCTGTATGAGTTCTATACTTCCAGTAAAATGCATCTGAAATTATCTGTCTCTAAACAGTCTTTAGTTATTAAAAAGCACCGCTTCTATATTGCAGTTCAATGATGCCCTGTTGTATACTACTCCGGTTCAGTCAGGGATGTATAAACTCAACAACATGCTGTCGTTGGCTGGAATGAAGGTGAGTCACGTGTTAAAATGAATCTTTCTCCAAATCTATTTAAACTCAGGCCTTCAAATTTTCAAAATGCAACTGTTTATTGTTGGAAAGACATAAACTATGTTTAAGTTGGAAAGATGCTTATGTCCCAGAGGAATCCTACAGGCTTAATGTTTCTTGCATAATACGGCCTGTGGGATTGCTCTCTAGGTTTCCCTAAAAAACTCTTTTGCCACTGGGTCACTTCACCTGCATTTCATCCAGTATTGTCGTGCTCTGAAATAGTCTCCCTACTTATTTTTTGTATTGTATTTTGTTTAGGCTGCCTCAGTTTTGCCTTGTAGCTGCTTTATATTTCCCACACCCAGAGATTAGGCATCTCTGCCTGATAAGCTTCTGGTGGATCAAATCTCTGTGGTTTATAGAGATCTGCTAACTGTGAGGGAAGATAGGGCTTTTGTTTCTGAGCTTTTGTGAAAGCCCTGAGCCCCTCTGGGTAGTGATAAGGGACATGCATGCCATATATTGACATAGCCTCTGACCTCTGATGTGACAGTGGGAACAAGGAACCCTCGCCTCGGGAATCAAGTGCTTATCTCTGGTCCATGTCAGAGACAAGCACCAAGCCCAGCTGCTGTGCAGATCTGGCACCCACGTCCAAGCTTTTGCAGGCAGACCTGCAAAATCTCCTCTGCCAGCTGATGTCTTGTGGTGGCTCAGAACCACTCTTAACATTTAAACCTCCTGATGCTCAAAACGTGGTAGCTCAGAAGGATCAGCAGGGCAGTCCAGCCCTTAGAGGTACGGGGCAGATGCCCACTCCAGGGTACACCAGTTGGCTCCATCTTGCCCTGCAGCAAGATGAAGCCTTTTTATGCCCAGTTGCAGGAGGTGCTTAGAGAGCCTAGGTGTGTTGAAGCACAGCGAGAGGTATCTGACAGCTCTTAAGCTTCATTCCCCAGTACGTCTCCAGTGTTTGTATGGGGCCACAGTGAAATAAAGCGGTGGGCTGCATGTAATCTTAGTGTAGCTGGGCCCTCTGGACTGGTGTATGATCTTCTGCTTTTGAGATTTTTCTCTCCAATGTACCTCCTCTGCAATGAAAATGTAAGGGATTTTACGGTAAGTAAAACTAAAGCAACTATAAAAGTACCATTTCAGTTTAATGTCAAGTTTTCTCTCTCAACTGAAGGTTAAGAAGCCAACCCAGGAAGCATATCAGAATGAACTGAACATTGAAAGCGTTGAGAGATCCTTCATTCTTTCAGCAAGGTCAGTCTCACAAATGAATACTGGTTTAAAAACCATGTGATTTCAAACAGCCCACGTAAGCTTTTTATAGCTTATTTTGCACTTATGTAATGAAAAGTTACCCTTGGCTAGAGTAATTACAGAATAGAGGGGATGGCAGATGGGTTTCGGGAAATAAGATAGGCTTTGTTCTAATTTACTTTTGTTCACATTCAAAATCTGATTTTGAAAATTGGAGTTTATTTTTAAATGGTCCAGCAGAAAGGAAGCCTGGTCACATGTAATAGGTTTCACAGATACCACATGAATTTGTAGTCTCTAACACAGCTCACCCTGGCTTGTAAGGAAGACTGCCCATTGTGAAGTGATGGATGGAAGCACAAAAGCTGTAGTAAATGTGGCTGGTATTTGAGCAATTTGGGCTCAAGGCTGCAGTTGGTAGGGATTGTGCTGTCCTCGAGACAGTTAACTGTTAATCAGAATGAATAAAACTCCTCCTTGGTTCTTCCTTTTCAGCTTAGCTACACCTTCAGAAACTTTAAATTGAAATACTATCCTCTCGCTGCCTTTCTTTGAGAGGAACAAGAATTAAAATTGTTTCAATTCCATTAATTTTAGGCTTTGCTTTTGAGTATTTTTTTTCTCTTCCAAAGTTACCAATATGCTCTGTCAGTGCATTAACAGGATGGGATAGGAAGCATGACAATAAATCTTGATATTGTTATTGGTAACTGATATCAATTGGAAGAAGTTATCCTGGTCTTCTAGCTCAAATAACAGTGTAATTGAAACAAGAAATGGATCTTGGTGAACCTGAAATTATGGAAACGGCAGCAATTACTGATGTGATGCTTGTCTTTACCAGAAAACCAGATTCTCCGTGTAGCAGCCAAAGGATAGATGGCCACTAAACCAGAGCAGCTCTGGTCTGCCTTCATCGAGATGCCTTTAGCAAAGACCTGGTTTTGTGGATTGTTGTTTTCACTCAGTTTGAGTTGAAATTTTATATGTTCTGACATTTGTGACAGCACTGAAACCAATGAAGACAGACATGTTTTCTCTTTTGTTTAGCTGAGCAAGGGCAGACTGCTTCTTTTTGTGTGACCTTGTAAATACCAACACGAGGATATCTGCACAAAGACAGCAGTGTCTCTAGCTGAGGGCTAGACCAAGGTTAACCTTGTCAAAGTAGCCAAGGGAAGTAGCTCAATTGTCTGAGCAGCAGTTATTTATAACAGACTTGAAAGGAATATTCTTGTATTTTTTTCCAACAACTTTAAATGTTTCTTATGGTTCTTTTGCACATTGGGGAAAAAAGATGCATTTCGCTGGTTAGGGTACGATTCTGCTCCAGTATAATATGAGCAAGTCCGTGCTGCTTAGGTGTCTTGGTGAGTGGGTGTTGTGCAGATACACGAAGACATTTATGGGATTGCAGTAGGCAATGTGGATTTATCTCTGCTTGACTTGAAGCAGCATTTCATTTTTAATTCAGTCGTTTTAAAGAATCATAACAATCATTGGAACTTGTGAAAAGATTATCATCTTGAAATACGGCCTACCTATTTTCCACAAAACACGATAGACTTGTCTTTTTGAGGAACTGATTAAGTGGTAGATTAAAAGCAACTCCTGTGAAATACATGCTGGTCCGTAGGGGAAAACTCCTATATATAACATTCTCATCAAATTGGGCACAGTTTGTGACGTGCTTTTGCCTTGACCTTGAAATTACTGGAATTAACCTCACATTGCCAACTAAAGCTGCTCTGATATGCTCTTTCTTTTTTAGTATTGTTGATCTTGCATCTTTGGAGAGCATTCAGCTCTGTTATTTTTATACTTGCTGGAAGCTATGTGTGTGCAGGAGCCGCAAGTTACACAACAGTGACAGAGAGAGGTTGCATTTGCTTGTGATGAGGGAGGTGCTGGGGGCCCCAGGTGTAAATGACTGTTTTCAGGCTGTTATCTGTCTGTCAGCGAGACCTGGGCCTGTTGTGGTATAGGAGGGAAATAGGTGACAAACTACCAGCAACAGGTGCTTGCATATATTTTTTCCCCAATTAATTGTATTGTTCCTATTGATAAATATCCTAGATGCAAAGAGAATCAGTTATCTTGTCAATACAGACTTGATCTTCTTTTTGATGATACCTCGTTTTAACAGCTGCTTGACTCCTATGTGGTAAAAATCTCAATTACAAAACTGTTCAAATTAATCTTACAGACATTGGAGACAAATTTAGTTTCTGTGTTTTTTCAAATAATAAGCATTATGTGGAGTGTACACCAAAGAAGAGATTCTGAAATGATCCTGGGGGCAGAGATGGAGAGGGGAACAATGAAGCTGGTGAAAAATTGCTAGTAATAAAAAGTGAGCCAGTTAACAGAAGTATAGATTAATGCCCAGACAAGAGTCTCTGTCACTTCAGGTTTAGTTTCATTGACTGCATTAGCTTTCTGCTTTATCTAGTCTGGGTTGAGGTTTCAGTTTCCCTGGGATATCTGTCGGAATGTGTATTGTTTTACACGGTACAATGCAGCATTGTCCTAGAAACCTTGTAGTCAGAGAAACAAGTTAGCGCATCTGCACCATACAGCGCTGTACAGAAGTAAAGCTTTGGTCCTGAAAACAATAGTCATGCCAGCCTGACGTGGTCTGAGGCCAGCTGGCCTCCTCAGTGAGGCTAGCGAAGGGCTACCCCTACCCCAGGCAGACATAGCTGCATCGCCTCCCCTAAGGTAAGGATAGCTCATGCAAGGCTTAGCTTAGCTAGGAGAGGTGCCCTAAGGCTCTGATCCTGGAACCAAGAGAGGTTTACTTCTCTTGGGACCACCCGGCTGCTGAGCTCCTTTGGGCAGCTTGCGACGGCTGCCCCTAGGACAGACACATTTGCCAGGAATAACAATTGCTGCGGCTCTCTGCAGCCCATTTCAAGTTTTCTACTGTTTTGTTAAACCTTAAATAAATAAAAAAATTAATAATTTTAGAAAACCCTGCAATGTTAGTAAACAAAATTACTTTTGGAAGGATGCAACAAACCCTGGACCTGCGGCGAGGGCTGTGCAGCTGTCGGGGAGGGCTGGGAGTGACAGCAGAAGAAACACTGCCTATTTTGCTGCAGCAAACCATTACATCAATTCAGTTGCCGATGACACCGCCTTTGCTCTTAACTTCTGCGGGATCGTAAACAACCCGAAAAGGCAGCGCTAGCAAACTGACCAAATGCGAGCTCCCTAGTGAAATATTAGGGCGTACGCCCTGGAGATCATTGTGCAAGCAGCCTCATACGTAGCAATCCCCACATGATCGGGGGATGCTTCATCTCCAAAAACTGGGCCAACTCTAAATTTTATTATTTAATACAGTTATAGGAACCTAATTAAATGTAACCAGATTTTGAAAAAGCCGAAGGAGTTGATTAGAGTTATGACTGTTATGTAGCTAATGCAGACCAGTTGTTCTTTCTGGATGTGGAAGCAAAGGTAAATAAACTGAACAAAATGTTCCACTCAGAGTGTGAGATATTGGGACAGACAATAATACATTGCTTTGTCCTTGCTTCTACCTTATTTCCTCTCCTTTTGTTCTGATTTTGTTGCTGTGTGCACTAGATCGGTTTTTTTCCCCTCGTGCCTCACAGGCTTCCCCCATGTTTACCTTCCCAGATTTGTCCTCTCTGATTCTGTATAGTACTCGGTTTCATCCAGTTCAAAGCCCTGGCTCAAAGTATTTTCCTTAAAGGTTCAAAGATGATCAAAGCTTCCAAATTCACCTACAAAAGCCATTAAACAATAACTGGTGTTGCACACATAATTTGTGTAAATCATTTGCTTTCCTCTTCCCTAACTTTCCTTTTTATATATTCATCATGTTCAATCCCTTGGTTTAAACAAATTAATTTATTTGATAGTATTTAAGAAGTGGGAAATAAAAAAAAAAAGTGTTGGTAGTAGATACAGGTTTAAATTTTAGATGCCCTTTTTAAGCTGGCATGGCATCTTAAACAAGTGGTCTAGCAATTCCTCTGTCACAAAACCGCTTCTTCCTCCCTCAGAGCACCCTCCATGGTGCTGGCACAAGTCGTCGTTCAGCTGCGTGATGAACCCTGCCGGTAAATGGATCCCGAGGAAGGGCAGGTCGATGGCTTGCTTTAATACGGATTTGTTTCCCAGTCCAGCTCGCTGCACTTAAAACCCACCGTGTAGCCGTGCGTGTCCTGGCACAAGGGTGAAAATAAGAGTTAGTGGCTGAGAAGGAGGTCGGTAGGCTGCCCTTTGCGGCCGCAGCAGCATGGATTTATATTATATGAAAGCAGTGGTGTGCCCGCGGCCAGAGGACGGACGTGCTTTGGCATTGCACGTAATCCAGTATAGCTGCAGGCTCCGGCTGTGCCAGGAGCTCCGTGTTCTCCCTGCTCCCAGCGCCACTTCAGCCTGATGCTTTCCTTGCACTTGAGTAGTGATCCACCAGCTGTGGGATAAAGAGATACAGTAAGCTTATCTGTTTATCTCTTTGGGTTAGCTAAAATTGAGGGGAAAAAAGAGTTATTTCAAAGCAACGTGACCTGCTAGGAACAAACAGTCAGGAGCACGAGGCTGGGGAAGAGCCAGCCCTTTTTTTTTTTTTTTTTACAGAAGCTCAAGATATAACAAACTGCACCCTGAGACACAAGGAAGGGAGGTATAAAAAAAAAAAAAAGGCTTGCTGAAATTTCAGAGTCCCTCTCAAGAGGCAGGGCCCATGCCTTTGTTGTGGGAACACCATTTACACCAGTGTTACTCAAGCTGTTCCAGGGGGAAGGGGGAAGCAATGATGTACAAGTCTTGAAATGATCATAGGCTGCTTTGGAAGGAGGAAAGGGAGGGAGGGAATCAACATTATAACAACAGACACACAAATCATCTTTAGTATTAATCAACACAAATAACTGACACAATGCAGACAGTTAAAAAGAAATAATGCCAGTTTCAGTAGGAACTGGAGATAGTCTATAAAACTGAAATTGCAAGAGAGTTAAGTCAATGTGTAATAAAGCTAATGGAATTCTAATCAACACTTGCTTCTTAGCTTTAAATGTTAATAATAATAAATTGATTTTTGTTTTACTCCCAACAGTTCTGCTACAGAAAGAGATGAGTGGTTAGAAGCTATCTCCAAGTCAATTGAAGAATATACAAAAAAGAGAATCACATTTAATCCTAGCAAAAGTCTTGAAGAGGTATATCACACCATTGTTGTTGGTTTGTTCCCTTTTTGAATATAAAGTTTCTTTGCAGGTGTTTAGAGAAACAAGAGACATTCCGTGATGAATGATAGAACAGGATGGTAAATAAGTGAAGAGATGATAGAACAGAATGATATTTCATACTGTTATCTACTTCATAAATTTAAAATTCTTTCCTTCCAAAAAACCCAAACCAGCTTTCTCAGTTCTCTCCATAATCTTGCGAACAGAAAGATGAAATGAAAAGATTTTAAAATATAGCAGCTATTGATATAAATAGGCTGGTAAAGCTTGAAAGTCACACAGCCTTTTTGAACTAATTAAATGCAGCTCTATCTTCAGACTTGCATTATAACGGTCACTGATGAAATAGTAGATAACATTTAAGACCTTGACAATTTATCGGAGAAGGCTTTCCAACATAATTAGAGTTAACCTATAATCACTGATAAATATTAATCTTATTTCTCATCACTGAGTGTAATGGTATTCTGCCTCTGTTCTCTCAGGCAGATCCAGAGAAGGAGGAGGAAGATAGTCCGCTGGGATCAAAGGCTCCGATCTGGATCCCTGATACAAGAGCCACGATGTGTATGATCTGTACGAGTGAATTCACCTTGACGTGGAGAAGGCATCACTGCAGGGCATGCGGAAAGGTTGGGCAATTTTGTGATTACCTTTTCAGTTAGTCATTCCGGTTCCTTGTGTGACAAATACAGATGGAGCCTGATTGCACCGAAACAACCCTTTTAAGGGAACACTGTACTATGACACAGTTATATGGATTAAAAAACAATGGGTTGGCTTGGGTTTTTTTGAGTAAGGTGTTATGACAGACCAGTATTCAACCTTTTAACCTGTTACATGTTTCTTATTTTGCATTTTGGAGTACTATTTATGGTTGTCTTCTGCTTCTGCAATTACTTAGTACAAAGAAGAATGTTAGCTGAAATGAGAAAAATATCTTCCTTACTAATTTTTGTAAGATAAATGATTTTGGTTTTAATTGAGTACCAAACTTACTTTATATGTAACACTTATGAACGGTATATCTAATAAACCTTTATTTTTCTTGGTTTAGTCAAGTGAGGATACAGAATTCAATGAAGTTGAGACATCTGTGTTGTGGAGAAATTGTCAAGAGAGCAATGACTATTTTTAGTTATTTCTTTAAAAGCTTATGATTTAAACAACTCGGTAACACAGTAGGCTTATTCTGCTTTTCATGGATTGTTAACATTGGCTTAATGACTTGTGTAATTCAGTGATTTTCTTCTCTTTAAAATTTTATCCTGTAGAGGAGGAAAGAGCAGCATGTTGAACACAAGGACATGGTTTAAGATCTTGGCTTTTCCCTATATTCAGTGTACAATAGTGCCAATTTTGGGTTCTGTTATGGGATTAACAGTACTGAAGTGAACATTTGTGAGCATTTGGTGATTTACAGGTGCACATCCTGTACAATAGTGCTTTTATTTGTTTCCAGATTGTCTGTCAAGCTTGTTCATCAAATAAACATGGTTTAGACTATATGAAAAACCAGCCAGCAAGAGTATGTGATCATTGCTTCAGGGAGCTACAGAAACAAGGTAAAGAAAATCTGCACAGACTGTCTGTCCTGGTTTTGTGGCCCTTATTACCATGGTATGTCTGTGCCTCATCTTTACTGCTGGGTCAAGTTACTGCTTAATTCTGCTAGTGCTTGAAAAGCCATAGGCATTGAATCATTTAGGTTGGAAACGACCTTTAAGATCATCGAGTCCAACCGTTAATCAAGCACTGCCAAGCCCACGACTAAACCATGTCCCTAAGCACCACATCTACACGTCTTTTAAATAACTCCAGGGATGAGGACTCCACCACTTCCCTGGGCAGCCTGTGCCAGTGCCTGACAACCCTTTCAGTTAATAAGTTTTTGCCTCACATCCAATCAAAAGGCATCTGAGGTTAAAAAAGCCCAAACAAGTTTCTGTGGAGAAAGTTAGGAGGTGAATTTGGAATACATTGGCTCTTCTTCCAGAAACATGCATGCATTTGCCCTACGATAATGACACATAGCTTATGCTGCTTTCTTTTTGAGATAACTAGTGCTACATTGCTTTTCATTAATCACAGGGTACAAGTGTACATTAAAGTTCTTGCAGCTTATATCATGACTTCCCAGTGGGCTCGCGTGTACTTTTACTCCCTGTAACTTGTATGCCTGTAAACTCCATTTTTGCCAGCTAAGCTGCTGAGATAGCTGAAGTTCTGGGGCTCTATAAAGAGACAGGCCTTCATCTCACTGAAGCTGAGTCTCTTCAGCCTCAAGCCTCGGTTCATCTGGAATTCAAGAAGTTGGCATATCTGCACCTCAGTTCTGAGGGCAAACTCTTAACGGTTGCCTACCATACCCTGGCAACATGGATTTCAATGTAAAGCACTATCGCTACAGCTATTTTCATTGAAACAGTTTCAGAGAACGTCATACTACTGATGCGTGGTGGTGATAACATTTGCTTAGAGAGGAGGTCCAGGGTCAGTTTCCTTCTCATCCGGAGAGAACTCAAATCCATCTTTTTGAAGGAGCTTCATAGCATTATGCAGAAATAGATGTAAAATCAATGAGGGCACCTCCCAGTGAGGTGGGAATCCAGTCCCATCTCACAAGACTTGCTCTAAATTTTGTCCAAAGACTAGTATAAAATACACAAATGAGCCATAAGTGGGGACTGAAACAGTTTGCTGCCCTTCTTGCTGGCAGAGGTTCCAGTTCGACACAAGCTCTCTAGGGTATCAGGAAATCACTGATGCCCCAGTGAAACAACCAAGCTATGGCTTCCAGCATGCTGGGAGTGGCATTTGCCATGGGGATGTAGAAAGCAGCATCCACAACCCTGGAAGTGGTGGTGGGAGCCTGGGATGATGGGGAAGGCGGTTTGCCTGGACCACCTGCAGGTCTCTGCCTTGGGCACCAGAGGCTGCTACGCTGCAGGCAATTGTGGGTGCTTTTAGCTGGGCAAAGAGCTGCAGAGCAGGGGGAGAGCTGGCAATCCAATTACTCTTCTGCTCTGCTCATTATTTCAGAGCCTCACCATGGTCAGGGACAACTCTAGAAAAGGAGTTAATGAAGCTTAGGGCAGCCCTGGGCTGGAAAATAGTGGTGGGTGTTGCTAGAAAAGAGGGTTTGAAAGGAGTGAAGTCTTGCAGAAGTCTTCCGAAAGAGATGAAGGAACTGCCTGCGGCAGTGGAGGAAGACAGCACGTGCTCTGGAGATGGGAATCTCCAGAAGTGCATGTGTGACGGGATGATGCTGGAAGAGGAGCCCTACAGCATCCATACTGACAAAAGCTGAGAAGATAACAGATGTATAGAATTCAAGGACAGAGTTGAGGAACAGGGGTAAAGCACAGACTGAACTGCAGAGGACGAGTCTAAAAATTTGGTGTGGTTTTTAAGACTTAAGTTTCACCCTGCTTATGGGCAAAGGTAGTTCAACATCAAGAAAACAGACTTTGAAAACGAACAAGACCAGTGAGTTTAGTTTTAAATTTCTTCCCGTTTTTTTTAGTCTGATTGTGATTTGGGGGATTCTAACTCATGATGTTGATGATAATACTGACAAGTTAATTCAACACTGAATTTAATGTGATTAGGTGTTACTATTGGAACACTGTAATCAGAATAAAAATGTCAGCTGCTTTTAAGAAAAAAACTCCAAGAATCATTGCCTGTCTTAGTCCTCTGTGACATGTAAGCAATATATTCATCCTATGCATTTTAGATAACCTGTGCACTCCTAAGAGCGGATCTCCAGTCAACCATAAATCCCCATCAAGTGCCTTGTCTACAGTATTACATAGTATTCCCTCTGGAAGAAAGCAGAAAAAAATTCCTGCAGCCCTCAAAGAAGTAAGTGCTTTATTGGTCAAAAGCAATGCCTTGTTGGTATTATATCATCAATATTAACAGTGGAAAAAAAAAAAAATCTGTATTTTAGCCATCTCCTCTGAAACCAAAAGTTGAAATTTGCCTGTAACAGTGGTTTGGGCCTCAGTTTTATATAGGCAGGGACCTGAATTATGAAGCTGTGTGTAAACTGCATAGACACCTGAAACTGTGACTCAGAGAGTCGGAATTGTAATTTCTTTCTTGCTTCCCTGCGTTTCAATGAATTGTGATTGACCTCTGCACCAGCAGTCAATGAGAAGACTCCTACGCTAACTCAGCTCTTGGCTTATGATTAGAAAAGGTAGAGCTAAACTCTGCCTACCTACACTGGAGGTCTTGGGAATGAGAGGAAGTCACTTTTCTTGTTACATAGGAATGTGTGTTCTCCAGCTGTACGTGGTCCTCTGCGTTTCAGCTCTCTCTCGTCCTGTTGCATCCAATTTAAGTTCCAACCCTTAGTGACCACAGAAACCTCTCTTCCAGACCAGATAGATGGTGGCAGGCAAAATCGTTTTTCTTTCAGCCATCTGAGTTAATTAGCAACATTAACTTGAGAACAGGTAAAACTTCAAGTCTTTGACAGGACAGGAGTCCGGAGATCTGTTTTAAAAAAGAGCTGTACTGCAAAAACCTGGACAGATGCATACATACTCTTGGGGTCAGTTGGTTGTTTTGGTGTGTTTTTTTTTCTCTTCAGGTTTCAGCAAATACAGAAGACTCTACAATGAGTGGCTATCTACACAGATCGAAGGGCAGTAAGAAGCCATGGAAACACCTATGGTTTGTTATAAAAAATAAGGTGCTATACACATATGCTGCTAGTGAGGTAAGAGACTACATATTAGAAATCAAATATCCATTGATGATACTGCCTTTGTAACAAAGTTGTTTATTTTTATGATCTAGAAACGAGCTATAAAATTAGATCACCTTACATTAATTGATCTGATTGCGATGTAGTGTTTTGAAAAGACCCAGTGAGCTTGGTACCATAATACGCTGATAGAGCTACGCTGTTTCTGATTCCAGACCTAGCTTTGAGTACCTCTGCACTGCACACCCTTGCACAGTTGTAGGTATGTTCTGAGTCAGTTGAATACATGGGGGTCTCTTTGAATGCATCACACTGGACTAGTGGCATAGCCCACTTATAAAAGCATCTTGAAGTATCTTGTTCTGCAGCTCCATAAGGTATTTTGAATGCTTGGAAAATGAGCAAACTAAATCTCTTTACTTCTCCTCAAACTGTCGTCTTCAGCCTGGAGTTGTTACTTAGTACACAGTGCTCCGGTAGAAAAAAAGAAATGCATCTTATCTAATGGCATTTGCTTTTTTATTTAGAATGTGTAGTCCTATTGCAGTGTGGAATAATCTCTAACCAATATATATAAACTCTGCACATCCCAGCATGTGCCAAGGATGTAGTTTTATTGCATCTTACAATGTTTTGCAACATATATGGAGGTATTGTAGCACTGGAAGATCTTGGGTTTTGCCTTTTTTTATTGTATGTTTTAGTTTGCTAATAGCTTTCAAGAGCAAAATATCCAAAGCATCTGCTTCAAGGTATTGCTATGCCTCACTTTCTTTCAAAACGCAAGGCCCAGCCTATCCTGATGGTGTAAAGAATTCCACTTCTTCACCCCCCCGCCAGCCCCACTCTAGTTATTTCCTGGTTTGTGCTCAGATTTGTTCCTGGGTTGTTCCAGCTGTAGTGCCAACCTTTATTTTACAGCTTCTGAATTATGATCAGAACCTGTGATGTTATTTCCACCACAACATTGGCAATAATAAAAAACAAAAACAAAAAAACCAAGTAGTTCTAAAAGTATCTTCAATAATGATGTACAAAACAATTACTATTGCAAAGATTTGAAAAATATTTTGGAGCATTGTGTCTCTTCTGGCAGTTGCAAAGGAGACTTCAGCAACTGTAAAGAAAGGCATATATTAGTCTATGACAGTCACCTTAAATTTTCTTTTGTTTGGCTTTCTCAGAGATATCAGCCTTCCAGAGTAGCTTCAGTTTGCAACTTGCAATCACAAAATTAACTCTTTCCTATTTTCTTTAAACGAAGGAATATCTCTCCTTATTTTTCATCTTGATGAGCCATTGCAGGAGAGGGAGTCTCAAGGGAAGGTCCAGTGTGGCCTTAGCCAGGAAACCCCACATTAGTTCCAAGTGATACAAAGATTAGTGGTAAAAAGACCATTTCTTAGTGGTACAGAGACCTAAGATAGTAAACCAGATTGCTAAGCCTTACTTGACTGTTTTCCAATGCCAAGAAATGCTGCTTTCACAGGATGCTCTTGTTTCAATGTAGAGGCAATTACCAAAGTCTTCACCTGACCTGTCAGCGTTTATGTACGTTCTTTGTTTATTTGTTCTATCCAGAAGCATTGCAGGACCCTGCCTAGTTACAAAACGCTCTTTTGGAATTTGCACAGGATGAAAATACTTTTTTTTTTCTTTCCCTTTCGAAAATGCTGTGCGTTGTATTTATTAATTAAAAGACAAGAGTATAAAAAAAGGAAGTAATTGAGATGAATGAGGAAGAGAAAAGGTTGCCCTTTTAGCCAGGTTTTGAAATGAAATGAAGAGAAAGTAAAAAGGTACCGCTTCTCTTGCTGCTCTTTCCTAGCCAACCACTTGTGAACACTCAGCAACTTTTTTCCCTATCCTGGTAATTTTCAGCAACAGAAAGCAAAATAAGTTGAGCCATCAAAAGGATCTGGAGCGTGACTCCAGTGCTGGAGAACATAAGTTACATCCATCGCTTCTCCTTTTAGCATACTCAGTGCAGCTAATAGCATCTCATATCCCTTTTAAGTGGGAACTCCCTACTGAGGTGGTTGGAGAGAGCGCTGGGCCAGGTGGACCTTTGGTCTGCTGCCAGGTGCTGGTCAACCTTTTGATATAAGGAGTCCTTACCAGGCAGAACGATGAGATTTATACAGTGAAAGACAAGGCAGATGTTATCAGGGAATTAAAAAGAGGAACAGCAATGTTGAAGTCGACAAGGTTTTGTTATTTCCTGTCCTGAGTCACGCATGGAGGTTATAAAAAGCGGCGTTTTGTGCATGACTATTTGTAACAACTCATTTGTTGTATAATCAGTTGCAATGGTGTGGTGCATGACTAAAGTCTAAATGCATTCCTTAGTAGGTCTTACAAGCTCTAATTTTGTCTTGTGTGCTTTTTTTCCCTGTAAAATAGGATGTGGCAGCGTTAGAGAGCCAGCCTTTACTTGGATTCACAGTCAGTGAAGTAAAAGATGAAAACTCAGAGTCTCGAGTGTTCCATCTATTGCACAAAAACACTTTATTTTACATATTCAAAGCAGATGATCCCCATTCAGCTCAAAAGTAAGAAACTAATTCATTTCTATTACCTTTTTTTCTAGAAAATGTTTCAGAAGTCATGAATGTTAATATTCACAGATTAAGCATATGTAGAAAAGATGTGTATTATATAATATGTAAATAAAGCTTTTAAATTACTTAAACACAAGGTCCTGGTTTCATTAGGACTTCTGAAATGCTTTAAATGAAGAAGCAGACTGTCCTCTGCAAAAGAGTGAATGTATGAGAATGGAAAAGTCTAAGATAAAATAAGGAATCTTTCTTTTTCCTGGCCCGTTCCTCTATCGCTGGTCTCAAGTGAAAAATCGAATGTTACCTTTGGAGAAATCCAGAAAATGTGTTTGAAGAATTAACTGATGTGTCCCTTTTTTTATTTCTAACTGTAAATTTTAGTTATATTTAATGAATATATGGCAGCGACAAATAAAGCAAACCCTAAAAAGTAAGGGACAGAAGTTTGAAGTGTGTGTGCAGATGTGCAAGAGCACCTAGGCACGCTTAATATGTTCAGACTAAAAGCCTGAATTCAAACGACACTCACACAAGCTGTTTCATTTCAAGTCCTGCAGACGTGTCCGAGTTTGGAGTCATCTTTATCAATTTCTGTATTGTGTGTGTTTTATATAAAATAACCTAGAAGCTTGGTCATTAATCAGTAGAAAACATTTGCTATATGAATCACGGAGTAAACTAGAAATGCACGTGGAAGCAATACATTTAAGTTATATTGCCTATAAGCCTAGCTTATCTGACTTGGTTCACTGCAGTTTTCCCAAAAGAATTTTACATTAATCAAATAGATTTCATGCGCTAGCTAGTCCATTATTAATACTTAAGCATTCAAATGGCTGCAGGTATAGTTTTGTGCAGATAGAGAGAGTCTAAAAAACAAGGTACCCAGGACAACTGAAAATTTTGAACAGTTGAGAACATGCTTAATGACACTTCTCTACACAAAAATCTGGAAGTCTTTATTTGATTTGGGGGAGTATTTTGTCTTGCAGATGCACACAAATGTTGCCTTGTTAATTAAGATACTATTCTCTTGTTTCCACCGTGTCCTCATTTGTACTACATAAAACGAAACTAAAAAAATCCAAGGCATTCAGTAGCTTTGTTTTCCTGTTTAGACAATGGCTTTTGTCATCACTAGGAAGACTTGAAATTGGACATACTCTGTTTTATTGAGGCTAGGAATAGCATTAAGTACCTTAAAGTGCAAGCTTTCTCTGGGTATTTAGTATCGTTAGGGGATTTATGCTGAACTTCCAGAATAAATGCTGCTTTGATAACATTAAAAGAAAAAACAAAGAACACGCTGTTGGCCTGCTTGCATCAGTGGACACTATTTTGTCCTGTTAGGGCCAAAGAAATATCTGATGTATTTGTGTAAGTGCAGTAACAAATTTTAACAGATGTTTACTTTCTGATGAGCTTTTAAATTTCTTAGTCCCGTACTATGTTGAATTCTTAAACTGTTTATGAATTTATTGGATTTGTATTCCCTTTTTTTTTTTTTAATTAATATATGGCAGGGGAAAATACAGCAAGGGATAGAGTTTGAGTTGTGTGTGCAGACAGGCATAAGCACTTAGACCTGCTTAGTAAGTTCATACCAAAAGCTTAAATTCAAAGAACATGCAGAGAGTTACAAAGTTAAACACTCAGGGCAAGGAAGAGCCAACATCTATGACTAACGTTTAGACACCCTGTGAATACTAAGACAGGTTTGAATTTCCATGATAAAGATAATTTTACAGTCTTTTGTCTCATTCAGTTCTTGCAAGATTTTCACTTGGGGGGAGAAGAATCATCAGTATGTGGGCCCCTTAACTTTACAAGCACAAAGTTCAGCCCTCACTCGGAAGACAGAATTATTCCATTTTTTACTGTATTTGTCCATGTAGCATCGGAGTGCTTCAGAAACATTAATTTTTGCAGCATCCTTGAGAAGGTGGGGATGGTTATCACCCTCATCATCAAGTAGGAACAGAAACCACAGCTACAGGGGGTAAAAGTATCTGAATATTAACTGTGAGCTTCCAGTTTGAGACACCTTGGATCAGCTGTTTGGGACCCCACCCCCAGCCCCCCTTCACATATATTTGTATTTTCAGGGATATAATGTGCAGGGTATCCGTGAATATGTGATGCAGTAGTAGCACATACCGTGTGTGTCGATACGGGGAAGTTCTGCCATCCTGCAAAGGCACCGTTCTTCAGCCCAGCCCGTGTGCCCCACGGCTTCCTCCCTCAGCCCTGCTACTCCTCCGCGAACACCCTGCTGGGCTGCCTCCGTTACAGTAGTGTCCCCATTCTTCCCAGGTCACGTTTGCAGTGAAGTAAGAGAAGGGAATATTGTTTTGTTTTGTTTTTTTTAAAAGGTATGCAATCATGTTATTAAAGTGGGCAGAACCTTGGCATTTCCTGCGTTTTGAGCATTTGATTCCCCAGCTTCGATGCGTCGCTGGTACGTAACTTCAGTAAGGGAGAGGTAGGGAGAAAAGTTTCTACCATCTGGCTTTGTACGGATACCTCTAGCAAGCTCTGCGTGTTTGGAGTCATTGGATAGATTTCTGGCATTTGTGCTAACAAACCCAAGTGGTAATGGAAGTATGGTGTTACCTCTTGTGTGAATCTGTAGCTAGTGAGCAGTGCGATTTGTACCTTTACCAGCAACTTCCTAACAGTGTTTAAATTTCTAATAGGTGGATAGAAGCTTTTCAAGAAGGCACCGTACTATAGCAGTGTCAGCATCGTGTCTGCAAGTCTAAAGGAAAATGTCCAACGATGGTGGTAAAACAGAGTACAGCAGCTGTTGGAAGAAATGGAATCCTGCCGTCTCAACCTACACAACATTGTGTATTTGTCAGGATTAGGAGTTGTTGCATTTTTAGTGTAAGGTAATATTTTTTTAAAGAATTGTGTGTATTTCTGTGTTGATACAAAATGTGTTATTTATTAAATTTCAATGTTTACTTTAATGGTCAGAATTATTATTAAGGTCCAAAGTGCCCACGTCTTCAGAATGGCAGATTGTTGGTCAACATATTTGTAAAGCTTATGCTTTTTTAAAAAAAAAACAAAACAAAAACCACGAAAACCACAAAACAAATCTGTTGCAATTGTACAGTTCCTTGTGATTTGTGTGTATGTCTTGAGTTGCTGATGCTCACTTTGCGATTTAGCAAGATCAGAATAGGAATTTCAAAGATTTTGGATCTTTGTTGGCTATGTAAACTCCTTCCTGAGAAGTTGTATGGTATTGCTGCTCCTTTCCTTGAATGGCAGTTGAAATCTTGCATACCAGTACATTAAAACAGTACAACAAATTCTGTCGCACAGAAGCAATTGCAAAGTACAGCTCAATTATTAGAAAAGGGAAAAAATACTTTAAAACAGACTTTGCAATTACAGAGATAAGGCACTAGAGCTTTTACAATACTACAAATGCCAAAGAGACTAAATGAGTTATCTTATAACAATTGCAGGATATATTTTCTTTTATGTTTCCAGTAGTAATTTAAAGCGGAGTAAAAAATACATTTTTGATATACAGGAAAAAGACAAAATACCTTATTTGTTTCAAAACTTTGTGTCAAATGAATTCTGTGTGCAGTATGAAACACTGTCTAAACTATTGTTCAAAGAACATTAAACAAATTTATGCAGCGCCCAGAATTTTAAACTATTGTATATTTAAATATTACGTTTAAACTGGAATTGCTGTACCAAGAAAACCCAACTTTTTTAATGCGGATGGCATCGAAATGTGTACCATTCTTTGAAATACCTTTTGTTTACACTATGATTCATCTGTTCAACACTTTAAAACACAATTCAGTTTCAGGTGTTTGGGTTTTATTTTTTTCTTCAAGAAAATTGTCAGTATACCTCATTAGGAAATACTTGCTGATGATTTTGGTGCATTTATTCTATTTAACTTTTGGAATTTTTTTAACACTATAATAGCATAAATGGAACTAGAACTACGAAAAACACATGAAAGGAAGCCATTTTTATGTCAAATGTGATGCACATGTAGCCAGTTAGTTTTACTGTACGAAACACTTCCCAGTAGTCTTCTGAATCGAGCTAGTTGTGGTAACAGAATTAAGAGCAATTCACTTTTAATTAATAGTTTTTGAATCAATGTTAATAGCTATTCTGTGGCCTCAGAAAGGAAAGAGAATAGACGGTAGAATAGTTAGCAGTCATCACAGAAAGGCCAAGAATGAAGAGGCAACCCAAAATTCTCTTATTCCCTCAAATACCTCAAGATCCAGCCTAAGATACTAACATAGCTCTGAAGAAGCTTGATTTTCCAGAGCTCCTGTTAAGTTAGTAGCGGGCTTGGAAGCCTGATGGTTAAACATACAAGTAATTGCATTGACTTCAAGTGTTTCAGTAGAGTACCATTCTGAACCAGGGACTTAAGGCTGTAGATCGGATCTCCCTCGTGAATGCTAGAGATTTGACCAGATAGTGTTGGAAATTCAGTGGGAGTCTGATCAAAGCCTTTATTCTCTTTTGTTTTAATACAAAGGTGATAAATGCATGTTTTTCTCTTGTTATATATAAAGGGCTTTTACTTACTTTTCAAAACCAGCTGCTGACTGAAGCCACGTAAGCTATTAGCATGTCTCTTCAGGGTGATTTCTGACATGGTTTTTGCTGTATCCAAAACAAAATTGATACCAGTGTTAACATAGGTGTGATGAGGCTCTTCCAGTTGATATTATCAAAGGGAAGAGCTTCTAAATATTTTTATAGGGACTGCACACTAACTAAAGTGGAAAGCCATGAAACCAGCAAATGAATCAGAAATCTGGCTAGGAGTAAGCTATTTTAATTCCAATTTATATTGGTTTGATATTGATCTCCCTGCTGCACAATAGAAGTCAAAAGAGCTACTGAATAAGGTGCCCAGGTTCTGCCTCATGTGTGGCATCAAACTACCTCTCAAGGATTTGGTGTGGAGTGAGAAAGTAGTTTAAAGCGTACTGTAAAAGTCAGAGGACTTCTTCCAGAAGCAGTTGATCAATCAAAAAATCTTTCTGACAAATAGATTGGAACAGAGCCCTAAAAACAGTAGTACACATCTTGCAGTCTAATTCTGTGTGAAATAAGTTGTCCTTGTAAACATGTTTGAATATTTCTTTTCCTCTTTCTCCAGCACTAGTGCTTTGTGTCATACGAAGAACCCACAACATAGGCATTTTCATAACATTTTCAGAGGGTTGCTTTTCAAACTTACCCTATTTCTCCAGCTCGCCTCTCATTTTGATTCATTACCGTCAGAAGTAAAGTATTCACTTCTTGATTTGACTAAACACTAAAACAAGACCAGAAGTTTTTAAGCACCTGGCTACCTCTTCTTATAAGAATCTGTAGTTAATAATTAATTTAAGATTGGTTAGTAGAGTATGAAACAAACACTAGCATTGAATATTAGTTCTAGTATCTTTATTCTTGGATAAATGAAACGTTCTAGGATCCTGAATTCTCTTTAACTTAAAACGATTTTTGTGCCCAAAGGACTTAAAACAAATGGATAGCTGAGCAGCTATGGAACACATTTTACTAAATATATTTTGTGCGTGGAAACTTGATTACTCAATTATGTATATTACATCATAATGTAAAGAGATGTTTGGAAAGACACGTTCAGTGTATTTGTTTGCCATAACTGCTGTCCCCTGTATTTACCATCCAAATAGGCTTTTATTTGGAGCAGCCCTAAATTGTACTGTCTAAATGAAAGAACAGAATCTTTATTTTGTAAATGAAAACAGTTTAAAGTTGTTGTAAATATTCCTGTGGATATGTATCATTTTTGTATAAATAAATTCACATTAGTTGAGTCTGCATCCTTTTTTTAATATTTTCAGTTTTTTACGTATTACATAATTTGTGTATTCATTGATTTTTCAAATGGCAGAATTTGCTGTCGTTATTCTGCATATCAGTCTCGCTTTAAAATTCCTACTATGTTTTGCCCTTACAAACAGAAAATGGCCTGAAAAGGTAGGCTGTATGCACCGACTGACGCTGCTGCTGGATCTGAGCACCCGAAACATTAGTTCTAAGTGAATTGTCTTCCTCCTGTCAGCCCAGACACTACACGCTCTCACTACCAAAACTGGGATCTTTGCCACGAAAATTATTTCCATCTTCCTGCCCTCCTCTTTTTCCTCAGCTGCCTCTTGCTGTCCAGTTCTTCACTCTGTAAAACTAAAAGCCCACACCTTCATGAGTTCATGATGTTTGTTTTCGATAAAGCCCTTCCACATCTAGGCGCAGAGCCTGTGCTGAAATGCAGCTTGCAGACAAAGCGCAACAATAAAAAAAAATATTGCTCTGGAGTAAGTCCCACCTGTAGGACACCAAGCAGTGGGGTTTTATCTCCTGAAGCCACCTCCTGGTCCTTCTCAGCTTCATCAGCCCAGGAATGAACTCAGCTTCCTGCGCGGATGTGCTATAATGCAGGGTGACTTACAGGTCTGTGAGAAGAAACGGTAGCTGCAGCAAGAGCTGACTGGGATGTGTTAACTCAAAGAGAAAGCCCTTCAGTGAGGCAATGTTCTTGAAGGTTTATCAGTGGAGATAAGACAGGAACATAGGATGCAGGATGAGAGGGCTATTCTCTCAGTCTCCTGGTGAATAGACATACCCATTGCAAAGCAAGCATCCCAAGAAACGATCATCCTAAAGGATTAAAGGAGTGATGTCTCTGTGTAGGTCAAATGAAGGGCGTTACATTAATAAATCCTTTTGCAAAATCCAGTTCTGCTGTATCTATTAAAGTATGCCTGAATCCCACTGTTCCTGTTGGCATAAGTATTTTAGCAGAGCCTGTAAGGGAGAGATTTTTCTGTCGGGTTAGTTACGCTGCCTTCTTCTGCTTCTCTGACAGATGTTTGAAAGCAGTTTTTTGATAACTTGCAGTAACAGCATAAAGGGGTTTTGCTTCTCTGCATGTTTTTGATAGGGATGTGTCTCTTGTAATCCTGGCTGACACAGCTACGTGGACGTGCCTTTGTAACACAGATGAAGCGTGAATTGGGTCACTTCCTAAGAAAAGAAATCACAACATGTTTTACTGGTTACAGTGACATTTCCGCTCTATTGAGGATATCAGAGTACTTGTCTGAAATAAGCTTTGGTGCAAATTCCTTGATATTTGTTAAATTAAACTGCAATAAGCTCCTTCATTTAGAAAGTAGATGTGCAGCTCGGGCTAGCTTGGGAAGTGACGAGTACTGTAAATTGAGAGTGCTGTAACGTTTGATGCTTTCAGGAAATGCTTAGCAAGTTAATTGCTCCAATTTAAAAATTCTTTATAAGGCTCATTTGCATTTGGCTTTTGGGAACATATTTGATCAAAAAGCAAAATACGATGCTTGCAAGTACTGACTGAACTAGCGATCCTGAGCTAAGGTGGCTGGATGCAATGCAGCTGTGGGACCGGGAGTGGGAAGAAAAGCACTAAGGGAACCGGCAAGAGCATGAAGGACTTTATTAATGTTAACACATCAATTGCTTGTATTCTTTGGGGTTTTTTCATAGCTCTGCTTCGCAGATGTTGATGCTCATGTCATCTGATTCAGTAGAGATTGCATAAAATGGTCTAAGCGAATTTCAGATAATGAAACGGTGCATATAGCCCGGGTGGCCTAAACGATCTTCAAGTTCCTGCCGATCTCCAACCACAGCGATACAATCCTTGTTGAACGCATGGAAGA